TAATGCATGAGTCAAAGTTAAGTAGTCTTATGTACAGACTGATATACAAACTTCATGTCAACAATTTGTGTAAGTTTAAATGGGTAGATTTTATTAAATCTTGCTTTGATGATGTAGGACAGAGTGCTGTTTTCCAGAATAAAAACCAGTATTAAAAAAACTTTAATAGATCAATCTATACAGAAATGGAGAAACGAAACGGAAAATTCATCTAGAGGCTTATTCTATAGTAGTTTTAAAAATTCTTTACTGCTTGAGCCATACCTGACTCAACCCTCTGTTAAAAACAGAGACGGATTTTATGCAAAATTAGATGTTGTAGTATGAAATTTCCCATTGAAACTGGAAGATGGCGCAATGTTCAGAGACAGGATAGGAAATGTTCTCTATTAATACCTCAGTATGTGACGAATTCCATTACTTATTACAATGCACTGATATAAGATTGATTGAACTGAGACAGAAATTCTTACCTTCATATTACTGGAGAAATCCAAACGTGTTCAAAATGTACGGATTGCTCTCAGTTTGTTATAAAAAAGTTCTAAATGCCTTTTGTTTATTTTTAAACAGTCTTGACAAAATATTGTAAGAAAGATAATGTTTTCATTATATAAGTGATTTTATGAAACCCAAGTATATCAGCTTTATTAAAAAAAACTACCAGAAGCTATGCATTTACTTTAAAACAATCTTAATCAAATATTGTGAAGAAACACTACGTTATCATTATATAATATCGAAGGGTATTTAGATGTACTAATTGATATCAGTCTTTTACATATACGCCTGATGCCCTCTGTTTATTTTAAACAGCGTGGTGTTATAATAGCAAAGTGTATATAATGTGCAAATTGCTATCAATTTGATATAAATACTTAATACCCCATTTTATTTCAAAGTCTAAACAAAATACTATGTTATCCTTAAATAATGTGGTTTAATGAAACCAATTTGATATACAAAAGTACATAATGCCCTTTGGTTATCTTGAACAGCTGTAACAAAATATTGTGAAGCAATACTGTGTTGTTATCATTATATAATGTGGTGTTATATTAAAGTGTATTTGAATGTACTAATTGCAATCAATATGAAAATTGAAAGTACTAAATGCATCCTGTTTATTTTAAAGTCTTAACAAAATATTTTGAAGTAACACTATGGTATCCTTATACAGCGTGATGTTATGCTACCATTTTTATTTATATAAGTAAATCGTATTGTTCTAGTTGTTATCAGTCTGATCTATGAAAGTACTGTGTACTTTGAATAGTCCTAACAAAATACAGTGAAGCATTACGACTTTCAGTTACCATCCATTTTGTCACGTATCTATTGATATAGTGTTGTTTTACCTCATGTTATACATTTTCATGTATCTGAGGATCCAATAAACTTGAAACTTGAAACTAGAAAGTCATAACTGTATATCATTGTCTCGCGAGAGGGAAGGAGGTTACTTTGACCTTGAGAAAGAGAATAGCGGACTTAACTTATTGTTAAGACGTTAAAGCCCACATGACTTATCAAGGAATTCAAGTCTTTAATATCAAATATATTTCAATACCCAAATATATACATGTAACCAAGAGAACAAGTCTTACCTACATAACTACAAATATATTAATATTGAAATTGATTAATTAAACTGTTTTTTTATCAATTAAGTTTTGTTCTACATGCATTTGAAAATCGCTAAATTATTCTAAAATGAATTTTAGTCGGTCACTAGCAATTTGACACTCGCATACTCGGTGCACGATAAATATGCACGAATAAATATAACACTGAATGAGTGTCATTTTTTACGTTTCTTTTACGTGGGCGCTATCTATTTTCATATGTAAATCAAATCACGTTTAACAGAATACATACAACCTTCAATAAATGGAGGCGCTATAGGGGACACATGTCTTACAGATTATTATTTTGCTGTCAGACGTAGTACGTTTGGACTAATACCGTCTGCCGTGTTATGTAGGTATGTTTGACAATGGATATTCTACCGACTCTAAACACAAATTCTTGACAACATGAAGTCTATGTGACATATTATTCATACAAGTACGAATTCCGTTAGTCGAGATTGTAATCAATCAAGACAAAAAATCACATCATCCCTAACTTTTTTCCTCGCCAAAGTTTAACAAATAAGTAGGAGTTGTCGCCCTTGGTTTCTCCCGCGATATGCTACACTGGACGTGATACACTGACAAGAGACGCTCAAGTATAAACGAATGAGAACACTAATAATTCGTTTAAAAATTTATTCATTTATTTATTTAAATTATCATCATTTCTCAAATTATTTGCTCATCAACATGGTTTTTATGATTTAATGCTATTTGATATAAACAGAGTTACATAATGCAATAATAACAATCCATATTTGCAATATATGCGAGAAAAAAGCATATAAATCACAACACTACTTGAACTAGCGACTATTGTATAATGTACAGATAAAATGTAGCATGTAGTTACTATCACGATCATATACCCGATATTTCCCTTTGTAATGCCCGCAGATGATACTGGAAATAAAAGTTTCACAAAATACAGCCATACTGATATTTGCGTTGGTAATTATAAAAGAAAACTTAATTTCAAGCCACCGGATTAAAAAACACCCGTGTGAAGCTCTGGTCAACCGATGCCCGCGGGCTACATGATTGGTCAGTAAAAATTAATTCAGAACGTTATCTGGTTATACAGTACAGGCAATACGCAGAAAATTACGGTGACAATTTGAGAAGTCAAATTTTAAAAACAGTAAGTTGATATGTCAGTTCTAAAAAATACACCCGCTGCTTATGATGAATTTGACATATGCTGCCTTACTAAACACATCATTTTCTCTCTTTTTCTGACTTTTGATTTTATGCCCAGTCTTTCATTTTTGTTTTTAATTCCTCTACTGACATGTTCTCAATCTCTGTGTCTGTGTTACGATACAATGTGGCTGCTTCTTTAATTTGTTCAGTTATATTTTTTCGTTTTCGTTGCCTAATTGCTATGATTTCACTCTCCCAATAATGTTATTTTCTTTTCACGTAAGAACGTTTTATTCTTTGACAGTTTTCATCTTTCAGTTGTTCTACTCTCTTGCTAACTTTAATGCATCAACAGTTGCATCGTGTTGTTCGTACGTGATTGGTGTACCCTTTTCAGATCAGCATTGACTTTTTCAACCCCTTGTCCGCAATACATACTCAAATTTCCGTATTCTTATAAAGTACCGTCACTCGGTTAACAACGGACATAGCACACCTGAGTGTTATCGAGTCGCGGGTATAAGGTGAGGAGAAAAGTTGCCCATGAAAATTACGAAAAATGGATCTTTCATGCACAATTGCCATGCATCATTGTCATTCAATTTGTTCTTCATCGTATGATTTGTGTGTTCTCTGTAACATTGATATGGCACTTAGTTCCTTCAAGAAGCTGATCGATGAGGTGACTATGATGTTAGAACCGTCACGGGTTTATCATCTTTCTCTTTACTTCCTCAAAATAGAAGGTTTCCAACAGAACAATATATTTTATATGTAGTATATTGATAATTTACATTGATTAGCTTACACTATAGATTATCACTAATGATCTACAATGTACATACATACATCTAAGTGATTTTGAATTTTCGGACTTGGAATAACCCATACATAATGATAGTCATTAGAATGAAGAAATGAAAACAAAATACGCCACAAAAAGTTTCGCTATCGTACTATAATAAGGTGGCACCGAGGCAACATTCGTTTGAAGTGAAATTTAAAAGCGAAACTAAAAATTAATTTAAAAATACAAATGCGGGAACTGCTCTCGCACATCTATGACCAAATATCAAACAAAGTGTAGCCGAATTGACTGCAGTATATGGTTACCATCTGGTGCATTTTTGTCTATAATGCGTTTACCATCTCGTTACTCTATTTTTGAACATAGGATTATAGTGCAGCCGAAAAAGTCGGTTTCGTACTATCTCGTTCACTACGTACTAGTGCGCTCCACACTGGTCATATGTCGAATGATGGTGACCGTGTAGTCACCGGAACGTCGCTTTCTAATTTTGTATTGGTTGTGTTATAAGAACTCCTATTCTATGTAGGTACTGCACATATTGAAAATATTCAATTTGTCAATCAATGTTGATTCTTTTTGCTGGAAAGCTATCTGTTTCAAAGATGGATAGAGATACTGAATATCCTCTGATTATTTGGTGTCGCGCCACCTATATTATTAACCTCCCTTCGAAGTATAACTCTTCGCTGTGATATGACGTCACAATTCAATTGACCAATCAAATTTGTCCAAACAACACTATGCCAGTATTTCGCGCGAATTGCTGAAGAAGGAAAAAATCTACATGTGGTAAGTTATGATTGTAGAAGATCTAATATTTCGATATTGATGTGTCGTGCGATCATCTAGGCGTCATATTTCTGCTTAGTGCTATTTTGATCGGATTACCCACTTGAATTACTTTTCAGACATGATAGAAACGAAAGTCGAACCAGATTCGGTCCGAGATCGTTCTCATCTGGGACACGGTCATCTGATACAAATAGTGATAACACCTACATTAGGTCTAAATAAATGTATAGGTATTTTTCGGTTTTTTTTTCATGTAAGACTATATGTAGCATCGCCATTACCATAAATCTTTACATGCCAACATTCCCGAATCTTGTTGAAAGACAATGTGTATGGATATACGCAATGCACTGTAAACTGAAAGAATAGTCTCGTGTCATTTGTTTGTTGTAAAAGTCTCTGGCTTATGTTAATCGTTATATGTATACTGTCTTAAAAGAAAATTTACTTGACTTAACTTTGCTTGACATCTGTTGTGCATATTGATATTTCTATGGCAAATATATTGCTAGTTAAGTGATTTAGAAATGTATATTCATTCTATATGTTTGTTTATTAACTATAGCAAGTTTTTATTTGTTTTTCATTTATTTGCAAGAAATCTAGATGCTCCAGGAAAGATGATGGTTATGGCTGCCAGTGACAGCAATGCGAATGTCATAAGCATCTTGTCAACACTTCAGTCAAAGATATCTAGTAAAGATGACAGAATTAAAGCATACACAACCTTCAGCAAGTAAGAAGTGCAGGATGTTTTTCTTCCATATCCATGTAAACTTGGAAGATATTTTGCAATAGTTTGTTGTAAACAAGTCAAAGAATATTTGATTATAATCTTAAATTTTTTGACAACCAAGGTTATTGAAATACAACATTGACTTTTTGGTCTGTTCACTTATACTATACAAATTTTATGAATAAAAGGTAGTTATTTTGCATTCTGTAACATGACTAGGTGGCTATGTAAAACCAAAACATTTGGAAATACATCACAACAGAGCAAAAGTTCTATTTACAGTTATTTCCACTTTGTATCACACATACCATATTCGTCCAAATCAACATAAGATAGACCCTTAGCTTATTGGCCACCATTAGGGATCCAGAGACAGTCCCACTTACATCTGTTCTAGATGGCAGTACACCCATCTTTCTCAATTCAGAACAACACCTGAAAAACTAAGTTTCCTGGAACAACCCTATATTGACCTAAGGTCAAAATCCCTGGCAACTAGATGTATCAGTCTGTCAGTTATCAACATGGTCACCCTCCCAGTTAACAATGCACTTTATAACAAATCATCTCCCATTACCCTCTTCAAGTCTACCTCCCAAATACATTATATACATGATTTAGGGGACAAAATACCAGTTCATTACATTTTATTTATGAGGCCAAGCATGTGTTTCTATTATTTTCTTGGATGATTGACTAGCATAAAATGAATAATTTACAAATTTTACTGCCATGTTCTGATTCAGCATGTAAGTACATGAAGTTACATCTTGCAGACTCCAAGGAATGTTATGTCCAATATTAAAAAAATTATTTTGCCTCCTTACCTGATTTACAGTTACATGAAAGAGGATGAGTTGAGTCTATTTAATCTGGATGTTGCCAAGCATGCTGACCACGTGTGGTCAGTTTTACAACAGGACATCATGAATGACCAGCCTCTTGTGGCCCATTCTGCTCTTCAAGTACTTGGATTTTTTCTCCATGACAGCGACAATGTCAGGTATAACCAAAACAAAAGAAATTTCTGATGAAAATTCTTTCATTGATTTCAGAATATCTATACAATTACAAATTGTTTCTACCTAATAAAATTAATAAATCTGTTAGTAAAAGAAAGGAAAACTTGACATATGTATGCTCCTAGAAACACATGATTTTTATGAAATATTTTACAATATTGATGTCATAAAGGAGTACCTGGATAGATTAGATCTTGAAGAAAGATCTTCAGATACTTCAGATTGTATACAGCAAAATTACTTCGTACCTTTCATTTAACAGTTATTTTCTTTCAGGAGCTTGTCGGCGACCAATGTTGGAAATGTGGTACCTGTTTTGAAGGATTGTGTGTTACAGACAGAGGACAAAACGACATGCACCCGTGCCTTGTGGTGTCTGAGCCAACAAAACTTACCTACTGATATCATCAGCAAAAATGTAATGTCTCCTAGCTAATATCAACATAATCATTCAACTAAAGAAGTTAAGTTAGAAAGATGAATTTGAAAATATTTTTCTATTTTATGATGAAGAGTTCTTGGTCTGATAACTGATTACCTACATTAGCTTACCCCTTCATGAAGTCCAATTAGTTACCAATACAACAAATAGGTTTAGAAAAAACAAATCTGAATTTTATTCTTTTTCCAACTCCCTGGAATATTAATTGGTATCTGGTAAATTAAATTCAACATTTGGATTAATTTTGATATATCCTTATTACCAGCACTAGGTGTCAGAATTGATGCTCAAATATTCCTTGCTTAGCTAGTACCTTTTTGCAACAGCACAAAATTTGGGAACTTATTTGAAGAGTAAATTAATTGATTATTTTGAAGGTGAGTGTGATGTTGGATTCTGCGGAATTTGCTATGGAGAAATGGAAGTTACAGTCAATTACTGTGGAAAATGAAGCATCAAATATCATTGCAAGGTAACAAGTTATCATAGAAATTGAAAAATAAATGGGCAAATATTTAGAAGAAAGTAAAGTCATTAATCATAGACCCATTATCATGTTGATGGTTTAGTGTAAGGATAGAACCCTAATTAAATGTGTGGGGGAGTTGGCCGGCAGATAAATGTTTTGGGGGGGGGGGGTTGGGACATTACTCAAATGTATTTTATGTGTGATTGGTGCCATTACAAATTGAATTATTGGGTGACTGGTAAAAATGTGAGGGTAAACTTGATACAGAAAATCAGATTATGTAGGTCAAACAATTCCGTTCTGATTTTTGAAGAGATTAAAATTGTTCTTCTGAATGCACATTGGTTCCTGATCTAGAAGTTCAAAGAAGATAACTGGTGTTGGTTTTGAAATTCTTGTTGGATGCGAGAACTAAGGCAACTTCGAGAAAAAAAATGAAGAAAATTTGACTATACACGAGGTAGCAACATGGCTTGGCAAAAATGGTCTCAGGTCCTTAATGGGGCCATTCATTAGTACACATTTTTGTTGGTTTTAGTCAAGCTGACTCGTGGCATGTTCGTAATACCAAATTACATCAATATAGTGTAGTGGACTTCCCACAAGCAAAGTTTCATTTTTGAAGAAATAGGAAATAGTCAACAGTCGTTTTCATACAGTTTGGGAAAATATACTGACATTTTCATATCAATGGGGTTTTTTTATATATAAAAACTTACTATGTTTTTGCTGAGGGAAGGTACATGTTAATTTGTTGTGAAAAAAGGCAAAAAAAATGAAATTTTGTGAGGGTCTTGTCAATGTGTAAAATGAAATACTGTGGAGGTTGCTTGAAGTAACAAATTTCAAGTTATTGGATTTAGCCAAAACTACATTGTACAGACACTTGGGTATTAAATTGATTTTATTGTATAAGTGGTTAGGGTAAAAAAATAAGATGCTGATTTTATCAAATTTTTATCAAATCATGCAAAAATCAAAATATCTTATGATAACAGGTACATGGCTTCCTTTATACAAATTTCAAGCTGCTTACTCTTTGCCACAAACTGATGAAAATTATCCTAATTTCTTTTCAGTTTAGGGGAACTTTCCAAACCCTCTACAAGGGCTTCACCCTGAGACCTTAAACATGGGCTGGCATCAACTATTCTGTTTTGTCTGCACACATCAATATGGCTATGAAACTCGGAATTTTTAAAATCTGAAACCAATTTTTTTTGTCCTTTTGCTTGTTCACAGAATTTTGGACGTGTGCCCTAATGAGATGACCAACCACATTGTGCGATGGGGCAAGATCTTGTTGGTACAGCTAGTACACAGTGCCGTCAAAATCCGTGAAAAAGCTCTTGAGGTAGTCAACACACAGTTGTCTACCCTGATGACTGAGCAGAAAGTGCTATCCAAATTTGTCATGAAAGATTTCAGCAAGGTAACCTCATCCATTGGTTAAAGGTTAAAAAGAAAAAGAGATAAATTTCATGATTTCAAGAAACTGATACTTGTGGCGCTTGATTTTGAGAATAAATTTCACTCATGACTTGTTCATGATATAAATCGCATCAGTATATTGTAGTGGACTTTCCACAAGCAAGTTTCATACTTGACATGTTATCTATTGATGATAGAAAATAGAAAGTCATGGAATTCATAGAAAATAAAACAACCACAAGAATTTAAGATGATACAGTATATAAAGTTTGTCTTTTTTGAGATTGTTATTTTACTCTGCGGGTTTGTATTAGTTGACAGGCTTTTCTGTAGGTGTTTCTCTTGGTGTAGATCTCATAGTCCTCCATTTTGTCACATAATTAAGGCATCAGTGGATAGTGGATATTTTTGTTTCAGAAATTTGGAGCAGAAATGGAAAGGTTATTTGGAAGCAGGCATGAGGTTCATGTATTGAAGACCTGGGGAATTCTTGTCCAGATTTTAGGAGATGTAAGTTGTAAGATTCTGACGATGATGTAAGTTTAACATACCATGTAGACACATCAATGATATTTTTGGACAAACTCTTAACGTTGTAATGGAAAGTAAATGAAAGAATTTGTGAAAATATAGAAAATAAATAATGTTCTCTAATTAACTGTTTCACTCCTTGTTACTTTTTGGAAAATAAGTTGCCTTTTTTTACTTGAAATTATTATAATTATTATAATTGGCTCCTCCTTCACTTTAAAAAAGATTGGGCAGGTATGTTGTATTCCTATGCTGTACGAGGTAGCACAGCTGATTTGGGTCAGACAATGGTTATTCTTCCATGATTCTCATATGCACATATTCTTCTGTCTTGATAACAATTAAGTTTGTCACGAAATTGTCCAAACCTTAGTGTTTTAAATCAAACAGAGTTTAAAGATAAAGAAAGCCAGGTATGAACTAAAAATTTTCTAAGGTCTGAAAATTGATAAGGTAGGAAAACTGGTGTAAAGAACCATCAAATCCAACCATTTTATCTTCAACAGGATCTTCACAGAGGTAGTTTCATTAACCATGTACTACCAATTGCAGAGCTAGGGTTCAAAAGTTCAAATCCAGAGGTGAAATGTGTAACCTTTCAGGCCTGGCAGCAATTGATTGACAACTTTGCTACCAACAATGGTAAATTTCTAATTTGTATACAAGATTTATTTACCAATGTGTTTGTATTTTTATCATCTATTCACAATTTGAACCTACATTTTAGCTTCTAAATTAAAGAAGTTTTAATTTTACCATGTTATTTAACATGCATTTGACATTAATTGAGATTTCACTGACAAACATGTATTTCATTTGCTTTGTTGAATTTTATTTGTAAAGATAACAATACTGTGATAGTATTTAGAGTGTGTACAATGTATGAAATTCTCTGTTTATCCTTAGCCATTTTGACAGACCCAAAGCGGATCAAACTAGTGATGCAAGTGTTCAAATTGAATAATGCGAAGTCAGAAAATGTGGCACTTGTTAAACTTCAGGTGTGGTGGCACTTTGTGTGGCTCCTAGGCCAGAAAGCCTCTTCCCACTTTGACCAGGTAACTCATATCTTTTGTGTTCCACAAAGCAGTCAGTCTGTCTTTTCAGTTAAGACTACTTCATCAAGTTTACCAACATTTTGCATCAAAAGAGTTTTTAAATAGCTATATTTTGTCTTTTCCTTTACCTGTGATCTGTGCACTTATCACCTGTTAAGAAGGCAGGGTCGCAAGTCAGATAGGTAAAAGATTTGAATTGTCATTGCAGGTGTGTGTGCCACTGTTGAATTTCTGTCTCGGAAGTGGGAAGCTAAATAATCACCTCTCTGGAGCAGCTACACCTCGTAAGTGGGAAAACAAATTTAGTAATCATTTTTAATGTTTGAATAATTCTGTCTTTTCTCTGTTCTTTTAGAAAATTATTATTTCTCTCCCCTGATAAATCTACAGTTCTGAGAGAAAATTGATTCATTATCTGTCTTGTGAGCGGTACTTTCCTTGCCATGTAAGATGTATTTTTCAGAACTGATCTAGGCAAAAAAAAATAGATGCCAAAAAAGTAATTTTTTTTTGCCTTTAAATGTAAGTGTTTAAACCATCACACTGTTGGAAATGTTAAGCAAGTGAGGACTGGTTCTTAACATTATTGATGTTGTGGTGTACTTTTTTTGTTACCGATATTTAGACAGATGTTTTTATGTTATGCTATGACAGGTGCACTAAAGAACGGCACAAGTCCAATCACTCCTCAGATGAACCTAGGTGTCCTTGGCTCCTCCAGTGCGCCCCCTGTGATACCTAACCTTCAGCTTAAGGGCTGTGAGGTACTTGCTCATATCCTTGGCAGCTTGCCAAATGACCTTGATTTCCCATGTCCAAGTTACACGATGGGTGAGTTAATTGCCATTCTTGATATATTCTGCTTCCATCTTTCTATACCCTCGTTTTGACCTAAGTCAGGGTTATACAGTTTTTGTCTTAAATTTATTGGTCCTTTTCATCTAAGACATTTCAGGAGTATGTCTCCGTCACTGTTTCATGCATCAACATCAAACTTATAAAACGGAGAGTATGGTCTGTAACACTGAAATGCGGTTTCTTGCAACCTCTATGTGACCTTTGACTGATCATAAATCTAAAAAAAAAAATGAACATTCTGTTTCCAGAGTGTATTGGTGGTTGTGAAGACCATGTCCATGTGTTTGAGATGTGTGGGTGCACATGAAGCTCTCACTTCCATTTAACTTTATTGTAATCTTGAGCAAAGTTCTCTTTTATTCATTGATCTCTGTTTTTGATGCTTAAGTGTTTGTGTGACAAAGATTTGAGTCATTGTTTCACTTACAGATCCATTAAGTCACGAACTCATCCCTGGTCCATCTAGTTTCTACAAACATGCTAACCTCCTAGTCAACAGTACCACAGAATTCATCTGTTCTCTCGGCAAAAAAATCCCTGGTAAGTTATGATTTCTTATCAAATTAGGAAACTTTTTGTATTGAATGGTCTTAAAATAATTTCACATAATGATATTGTTTGCTTTCATAGCTGTGACGTAATACACTTTATTATGCAACAAGCTTAGTTCAATGTCAGGGATTGGGCTTGTTACATGACCCCAGGGGGACAACACATAACCTGTTACTCAGAGCCAAGGACTGGGCTTGTTACATGACCCCATGGGGACAACACATAACCTGTTACTCAGAGTCAAGGATTGGGCATGTCACATGACCCCACGGGGACAACACATAACCTATTACTTTTCAAGGATTGGGCTTGTTACATGACCCCAGGGATCTAACACATAACCTGTTACTTGTCAAGGATTGGGCTTGTTACATGACCCCAGGGGGCCAACACATAACCTGTTACTTGTCAAGGATTGGGCTTGTTACATGACCCCACGGGGACAACACATAACCTGTTACTTGTCAAGGATTGGGCTTGTTACATGACCCCAGGAGCCAACACATAACCTGTTACTTGTCAAGGATTGGGCTTGTTACATGACCCCAGGGGGCCAACACATAACCTGTTACTTGTCAAGGATTGGGCTTGTTACATGACCCCAGGGATCTAACACATATCCTGTTACTCAGGGTCAAGTAATGGGCTTGTTACATGACCCCAGGGGGACAACACCTAACCTGTTACTCAGAGTCAAGGATTGGGCTTGTTACATGACCCCAGGGGGACAACACATAACCTGTTACTTGTCAAGGATTGGGCTTGTATTATGACCATGAAAAGTATGCTTCCACCCATTTGGTCTGAAGCATGCTTGGATGAAGTGAAATCAGTTTTGTATAAAGTGTGGTTTTTGGCCTCCTGGGGTCAAAAGTACGGGACCCAACAGGGAAATTCTGACCCCCAAGTAGATTTAGTTTATTTTCATATCATTGCTTTGCACCATCAACAATTCATTGGGATCTTTGGTTCTTTGAAACAGTTGTGATCTCCACTGAATAACTATAGCATTGTTGAGCATCTGATGATAAAACACAATCATAGCTGATAATGTGTCTTGGGGTCTGGTCTCACCCTAAGAGATTAACAATTCATCTCTTTCCCCAACCCTAGGTAATTTGAAGCTGTATCTAGGGTGAGGCTCGTAAGGGGAAATATTTTTCTTCTACAGAAATATTTTGCATTATTGACTTAAATATTCAGGTGAGCGATATAGGCCCTCTTGGCCTCTTGTTTCCTTGTCTGAAGTGATCAACATTTTCTGTTACAGAGGCCCTGTTATACCAGATATGGTACTCCTTACTGGCTCACATGAAGAATGGTCTGGAACACCTGAAGGCTGAGATGAGGGAGATCCTTACATCCTTCCTCACACAATTCCAGGTTATCATACTTAGCCAGGCCCTGCCGCAGAAAGTCTTACTGGTAAGTGTGCTAAATCATGTTCTCAACCTAGTAATGTTCAATCACAGGAAATTGTTGTCTGTTAACATATTATCTTCTCACCGGAAATTCATAATTTATCTACAAACACATTCAGAATTTGTTTTGCACAATATGTTAGATTTAATTAAAACATTTATGTAATTGTCTCTGGAAATCAAGGTGAAAAATATGTTTATAAGATCTATAATGATATATTTTTATGACTGAGTCCTCTCAAATGTTGAAATAACAATTTTATATTCCGATGTAATTTCATCTTGCAAAAGAAAATCCTTCTGTGTTTGGTATGTAAAACTTAAAATCTTAAATTGGAGATCAATAGAATGTTTAAATTCAATGACTGGGTAACATGTATACAAAGATGTAAAAATACAGTGACTGGGTAACATGTATACAAAGATGTAAAAATACAGTGACTGGGTAACATGTATACAGAGATATAAAAATACAGTGACTGGGTAACATGTATACAAAGATGTGAAAATACAGTGACTGGGTAACATGTATACAGAGATATAAAAATACAGTGACTGGGTAACATGTATACAGAGATATAAAAATACAGTGACTGGGTTACATGTATACAGAGATATAAAAATACAATGACTGGGTAACATGTATACAGAGATATAAAAATACAATGACTGGGTAACATGTATACAGAGATATAAAAATACAGTGACTGGGTAACATGTATACAGAGATATAAAAATACAGTGACTGGGTAACATGTATACAAAGATATAAAAATACAATGACTGGGTAACATGTATACAGAGATATAAAAATACAGTGACTGGGTAACATGTATACAAATATATACACACCTAAGCTTTTAAGTAGCTGATCGGCCTTGATAATGCAACTGGAACAAAAAACTTGAGATACCTAATGAATTTGAAAGCTAATTAGACTAGTTTATTCGTTTGGTTTATTTTACCACATTCACTGTTTATAAGAGTCACATTCCCATCTTTGGACAGGTAATGAATGACATGTGGTCCTCCAATGCCCTACGGCAAGCATACCTTCTGACCTAATACTAGGAAGCAAACAGTAGTAGAGCTCCCTACAGCTTTCATTTGAAGACTGCACATTTTTGATTTTGTGCTAGTAGTTCCAAAATTTGTGAAAATTAAAATAGCTGCAAACTTGTTGTATTCTTGAAACTGTTAAAGTACGTATCTGTGAAAGGAAGTCAGTGTACAGTCTTTAATGAAAGTAAAAATGTTATGGTGAAATTTTTTTAGAAAATGTTTGAAGTTGTGTGCTGCCTTCCCCGAAAGTCCCTTACCTCTACCGCCTACAATGTTGGTAATGGGGAGCGAATTCATGTAAGTATAGTGGTTCTTGTGCAATAGAGTTCTTCTACTGGCTCACAAAAAGATGTGCATAATGAATTTTGTCAAGTGAGAAACGAAAGTTTTGTTGCATAGAGTTGAAATTTTGAGAACCCTCTCTATCTGTAATGTAAGTGGACTCATCAAAATTTTGGAAATGGTGCTATGAACTTGCCAGTAAAAACTTAACACAACATTTCTTATATTTTATTGGTAGGTCAGTGATGTGAACATTTTTTACCAACTTTGATTGATCAAACCTCTTACCTTCCATTAAATAATATAGGTGTGTATTTGTTAGGTTGAATACAGTTATGAAGTAATGAGAGTTATTTCCACAGAGATTTGGTACAGACTGAAGATGTTTTTAAAAGCTCTGTTGGTAACTGTTTACAGGGAACACCTGCTCTGTTTCTTACCGAGCTGCTCCTCACCCCAGTACTACTGGCTACAGGGGCTGTTTCAGAGAGGTATATATTATTCTATACAGTGACTTGTAGAACACTCCTAAAGTTTTAAATAAGTGAAAGAAAAACATATGTAAGATAAATAAATCTTAATTTTCTGTACAATAATTCCAGCTATTTAATTTTATATTGAGAGAATCCATTCCTATTTTTCATTCCAACATTAATACAATTCCATTATGCTTCCTTACAACATGGCTCTATAAGCTGTTCCGTTATGCTTCCTTACAACATGGCTCTATAAGCTGTTCCGTTATGTTTCCTTACAACATGGCTCTATAAGCTGTTCCGTTATGTTTCCTTACAACATGGCTCTATAAGCTGTTTCGTTAGGCTTCTTTATGACATGGTTCTAGACTGTATCATGGTTCTAAGAAGTTTTGTTTTACTCCCCAGCTACATGACACTTTTTGGAATTCTGGTGGACTGTGGTATCAACACTTCGTCAGGATCTTTAGAGTTCTGTCAATCTACTATACAAATGTTAGAACAGAACCGAGAGTTTGTAGAAGTTCCAGAAATGATGTGGAGGTTATGGAGTGGTCTGGTGAACCCTCTCCATGAACACATAAAAAAGGTAGGCATCCTTGGCAGTTATCTGCCTTTTAAACAGTTGATATGTGAAAATAGGGCTACTATGAAATTATTGCCAAACTTTCAGGTAAAATTCTGAGCTTGAACACAGAAATTTTACACACAACAAAAAACAAGAATTTGGCAAAATGAGATCAACAGAATTGTTTAAGTGATAGATGTGAAGGATAAGATCAACAGAATTGTAGAGGTGATAGATGTGAAGGATAAGATCAACAGAATTGTAGAGGTGATAGATGTGAAGGATAAGATCAACAGAATTGTAGAGGTGATAGATGTGAATGAAGGTTAAGATCAACAGAATTGTAGAGGTGATAGATGTGAAGGATAAGATCAACAGAATTGTAGAGGTGATAACCATTAATGTAAGAAAATTTTCAATGTTTAAATGTTTATCTTCCAAAAGACAAACGAGGTAAACCAGGGAGATGCATTGGAACACAACTTCAACTGTTTGTATGCTGTCCTGATATTCCCAGTACAACAGGGCCTTGTCACCTCCATGTCACAGGTAGGATATTACTGTTCCCAGTAAAACAGGACCTTGTCACCTCCATGTCTCTGGTAGGATATTACTGTTCCAAGTACAACAGGACCTTGTCACCTCCATGTCACAGGTAGGATATTACTGTTCCCAATACAACAGGGCCTTGTCACCTCCATGTCTCAGGTAGGATATTACTGTTCCCAGTACAACAGGTCCTTGTCACCTCCATGTCTCAGGTAGGATATTACTGTTTCCAGTACAACAGGTCCTTGTCACCTCCATGTCACAGGTAGGATATTACTGTTCCCAGTACAATAGGACCTTGTCACCTCCATGTCACAGGTAGGATATTACTGTTCCCAATACAACAGGGCCTTGTCACCTCCATGTCACAGGTAGGATATTACTGTTCCCAGTACAACAGGTCCTTGTCACCTCCATGTCACAGGTAGGATATTACTGTTCCCAGTACAACAGGTCCTTGTCACCTCCATGTCACAGGTAGGATATTGCTGTTCCCAGTACAACAGGTCCTTGTCACCTCCATGTCTCAGGTAGGATATTACTGTTTCCAGTACAACAGGTCCTTGTCACCTCCATGTCACAGGTAGGATATTACTGTTTCCAGTACAACAGTACCTTGTCACCTCCATGTCACAGGTAGGATATTACTGTTCCCAGTACAACAGGTCCTTGTCACCTCCATGTCTCAGGTAGGATATTACTGTTCCCAGTACAACAGTCTTGTCACCTCCATGTCTCTGGTAGGATATTACTGTTTCCAGTAGAACAGGGCTTAAATATTGAAGGGCTATTTATAGTCTGGTAGAGTGAATGACAGTTACAAGAGCTGCTCACTTTCAAGGAGGCGACTATTTATTTTTGAATGACTTTTTAACACTATAAGTTTTGTACGTTCCATCAGGCTCTCGTTGGAAGTTTTGAATCCCATGTCAAAGTAGGTTGTCTTTTGTATCAAAACACTTAATTAGATCCATATCAGTTTAATATATAATAGCGTTGATGCAGAAATTTTGATTTCTTATACAGGCTTCAGTGAAGACAATGCTGAAGACCTGGTGTGATTTATACAAAACATTTGCTCGACTCTCTGCCCTGGTTACCAATGCTGAGGCCAATATATGCTGTGAGGAACTATGCCAAAGATTTCTGAAGCTCGTCAGTCCAACCAATTTAGAGGTAAGGACTGTGTCATACAAAGGAGTGAAATATCTTACTGTAAATCTATTGTCTTGAGTTGGAGAAGTAAGTTTGACAGAGGTGTTTTGCCAGTAAATGTATCCAACTTTTTAGAAAGCTTTTTGATAAAATTGTCTTATATTGTATTATATTTTCAGAAATGATTTATTAGATGAAGCAAAGAGTAATCACTGATTGTGTAACATGTAATTGTAAACAGATTGTTGATATACTGACATTGTTTTGTCCACAGGAGGTTGGTTACCTAGAATATATATCTCAGTGCTGTCTGGCCATGGTCAATGCTGTCGACTACTCTTCTCTGGGATCTGTTCCCACTTTTAATCTCAGTAAGTGTATACTGTGTCTTATCCGCCATTATTTTGTCTTCATTGTAGTTGGAGAAATGTTTGTTTTGATTGTTTTTTGGGGTTTTTTTTTCTGGAAAACAGATCTACCACTTTGATATATATCCTGACACTGTGTTATATATATCCTGACACTGTGTTATGTATATCCTGACACTGTGTTATGTATATCGTGACACTGTGTTATATATGTCCTGACACTTGGTTATATATATATCCTGACACTGTGTTATGTATATCCTGACACTGTGTTATATATATCATGACTCTGTGTTATATATATCCTGACACTGTGGTGATATATATATCATGACGCTTTGTTATATATTTCTCGCACCTCAGACAGGGATATCCCACAGCAGCCTAGATTTTTCTATCGCCTGATCTGTAGTAACCTCACATGCGTTTTTGCATAATCTTATATTCATTTGTGTATTCATCCATGTGTAAACGTAGGTGGCACCTACACCCGTGCATTTCAATAAAAATGTAGGTTGTGTCATTGTTAAAATGTCATTGATATTCTATTTGATTAATCATATTCCTGATGTTGTAGATAAAATAAGGTCTTCACTGTAAAATGTGTTGTATTTTTGTTGGTGCAGCCTGCATAGTTTACAAGGCACTCTCCAATCATTTAAAAGTAAAAAATCTGTTATCTGTAACTGTGTGAGATTGGAGTATCTCGGTCTCGGGCAAAGATCATGTAACATCCTTATCTCAGATAATGTCTCGGTTGGCATTATGTTACAGGATCTTAGCCCTCAACTGAGATATCCCGATCTCGCTCAGTTACAGATAACATATTTTATTAATCAGGACACTGTTAGATGCGTATATCAAGACACTTGTTATATATATCACGACACTGTGTTATATATATCATGACACTGTGTTATATATATCACAACACTGTGTTATATACCAAATGGAAACTTTATCTTATTGGTGCAACATAAAGTGCTGTGTCGGGTACCCAAACAGGTCGTTATGGCAACAGAAAGTGCTGTGTCCTGCACAAAAATTGGTCATTATGGCAACATTATTTAGTTTAGATTGTTGATCATAGGTGAAGATTGGAAGTTTAATCTTGTCAGTTTGAAAGTTTTCTTCACCCAGTGACTGGTTGACTAAGATAATTTATGCTTTAATTCTGATACAGATGGCCTGAGTCCAGCTAAGTGGGCCAAAAAGAAACAAAAACCAATGGACAATGTCCAAAGTTTGGTGATGCTGATGCAAAGAATTTTGGAGGCAACAATGATTGCTGCCACAAAGGGGGATTTTGGAAAGGTAGGCTTAGTTTGGAAAAAGAAAACAGCACTGACCTGGTAATTTAAAGATTTTTCTTGAATTAACAAAATCTTTGGATGATCTGTTGTATAATTTTGAAATAAATTGATAGAAATGTTTTTCTAAAAGTTTCTAAAACTTTCTGCTAATGCAAAACTGCAGACTGAAATTTTATATCTTACACTGGATTTTTGTGAGCTAAAATTACAGTGCACACTGTAATAAAAAAGACTTGTGTAGGTAGTATTAAGCTTCACTCATATTTCTTTTTAAATAATTGATTGAGTTATAGTTAAGTGTTAGTTAAGAAATCGATTTTAATGTTTGTATTTTCAAAATCAAGTAATTCGAGAGAAAGAAAAAAAGAAAAATCTCAGCGTTGTAAATTTAGTAAATTTTTTCCTGACCTGTGTCATACAGCTACATTTCTGCTTACATACTCATGTTTTATGTATTTAGTGAAAGTAAATGTTTACTTGAGTGTTGACTGTAAAGATGTTGGTTTCCTTTAGGCTCAAAGGTCATAAGGTCATAATCTTTCTATTTTGTTGGAACTTGATTTTGTGGATGAAAAATACAAAATCTGATCATACTTAAAATGTTGAGTTTAAATATTACATGTGGATGTGGAATAGAATTACCTACAAAATCAACAAAAATATGTGTATCCCCTCTTATCTTACAGAAGCCAAATGTGGGTTCCATTCCTAACACGGCCAGCGTGACTGTGGATGTCCTGATACATTTATTTACACACGTCAACACATCAAATTCCATTCTGTCTATGATTACTCACCTGGCACAACCCATAGCTGATCTGTTTGAGGGATCAGCAGGAAAAACAACAGCAAAAATATACACCAATATATTTCAGCAAAAGGTTGGTAATATGATTGAATAATGATGGTTTATTGAATAGAGTATAGACAATAGCTACTCCCCTTCATCTTATCAGATTTGTGACCTATGTGAAAAGACTGTTTGCTGTACAGCAGCCATCTTTTGTGGGGAGAGAGGGACACGAGAGGTAGCACACGTCTATCTTATTCTGACTTCTTGTGATTAGTTGTGGCTTATTCCAGAAGGAATTTTGATCAAATTTATACAAAAGTCAAGAATAAGAAGACTAAATGAGTTTGTATTTCATAGTCATTAGTCATAGTTACTAATTTTAGAAAGTCTTTTTACTTTGTCACTTTTACACAGATAGATTAAGCTGGTGTTAATGTCACTTTTACACAGATAGATTAAGCTGGTGTTAGTCTCACTTTTACACAGATAGATTAAGCTGGTGTTAATGTCACTTTTACACAGATAGATTAAGCTGATGTTAATGTCACTTTTACCCAGATAGATTAAGCTGGTGTTAATGTCACTTTTACACAGATAGATTAAGCTGGTGTTAATGTCACTTTTACACAGATAGATTAAGCTGATGTTAATGTCACTTTTACACAGATAGATTAAGCTGGTGTTAATGTCACTTTTACACAGATAGATTAAGCTGATGTTAATGTCACGTTTACACAGATAGATTAAGCTGGTGTTAATGTCACTTTTACACAGATAGATTGAGCTGGTGTTGGACTAAGATTTTACATTTCCTATCATTATAAATACAATATCATTAAGAAAATTGATTATCTAATGTATTGATTGCTTTTGAAAAATATGATTTCTGATTTCAGATTGAAAAATTATGGCAAACAATAACAAATTCTTTGCAAAGTAAATTCACATCAAAAGCAGACTCGGAGCTTCTTGCAAAGTTATCCCCCTTGCTAGAAGCTACGTTTCTACATCCAAGAAGAGCAATGAAAAACATCACTACAAATTTCTGGAAGACAGAGTTCAGTCAATCAGCACCCCTGGTTTATCCAGAAAGTCTCAAGTAAGAAAGACATTTTTATTAAGTCCACAGCTGTGTTGATGGGCAACATTGATTTCATATTTCTCTGGTAGAAATTAAGTTTACGTATGAAGTACAACTACATTACATAGTTGTGTAGTAGAAATTTTATCATGTAGGAAAATATGTAATGATAAAAATCTGCACAAAAATTATTGTGTATCTCCTTTTCAAAGAGTTGAACTAAAGATGAAACAAAATTATTAGATATAGAATATATGTTGTGAAGCTGAAATGTTTTTGCTGTTCTATGTAGATTGTTGAGCTTTTAAGTTTTATGGTTAACAACAATTTCAAATGGATTAAGGTTCCACTGATGTGTAAAATGTCACTTCTCACCTATAATGATGTCATTCTGCTCAAACATCAAAGTTGATCACCTTTTTATCTTCTGTGACCTCTGACCTGTTACATTAACATTTGTAGGCCTGTACTTAGCAAAGTAAAGGAGAAGACCTCCATTGTCCTGCCTGGTTGGTCAGCTGTTAGTATATCTGTTGTCGAGGAAACGCCAATAAGTCAGATGAGCCAGGTCTGTCGATAAACATTTATGTAATTAGGTTGTATGGAAATATTATGATTTCTTATCTGAAGCTTCACATTATTTCACACACTCTTAACACATTCACTTGTTTATCTGAAATATAGTGTTACCCTTTATTTGAGATGAAATCAAAGATGAATTTGTTTCTTATTATTTTAAGATCAAGGTCATTGTAACATTTACAGAAACTCATCAAACATGTTTACCTCTTGGTATCTTAACATCAAGTTCTACACCAGATCAGATTCAGGCTTACAAACACTAGAGGTATTCATTTCTTAAAGACATTTTCTAGTCTATCTTCAGTTCAGCATCAACATCATTATTTCTATTTTGGAAATGCTATGAGTTTTGTGACCTTTGAACTATTTGTCACAGGCGGAGTCACAGGCACCAGAGCCCAGACTACCAGGAATGCCATCTCCTGTTAAAATGCATGGTAGTTTCCTTAACAAAGCTGTGTCACCTCACATCAAAAAATCTCCTGCCAAACCAGTTACTATGGAAGCAAAAGGTCAAGAAGTTGTCAAACGAGATCTTTTGTCTGTAAATGGGATGAAAAATGATGTAAGTGTGAAAAATCAGGTGTTTTAATTACGAGTCCTATGATCAAGCAGGTTTTTTAGGTCACCTGAGCCGAAGGCTCGTGGTGACCTTTTGCCATCATGATTTGTCTGTCGTCATGCATCGTTTTTTCACTGAATAGATTTTGACCAAACTTGGCACAAAGCAACCCCATGGGAAGCCACTTCAAGTTTGCAAAGAAAAAGGGTGTGGCCCCAATAGGGGCTGCAGGAGGGGGAAAAATGGGGGTAAAATTAGGTAAATCTTTAAAAATCTTCTTCTCATGAACCAAAAGTCAGATTAAATTCATATTTGATATTTATGGTCCTTATGGCATGGTTTACAAAGTTTGGGAATGAAAAAAAAAATTGGGTCAAAAACGGCCCAACGAGGGGGTGTCAAAAGGGTCAGAAATTCAACTTCAACCGATTTCAACCAAATTTGGTAGAAAGCATCCCTTAGTGAAGGACATATGAAATTATGTTGAAGAAAGTAATTATGTCCTCTTTGGGGCCCATAAGGGGTGTAAAAGGAGCCATATGAAAAAACCTTCATTAAATGACTACTTCTCAAGAACCAGTAGATGAATTTTGACCAAACTTGGCACAAAGCATCCCCATGGGAAGCTGCTTCAAGTTTGCGAAGAAAAAGGGCGTGGCCCCAATAGGGGCCCCAGGAGGGGGAAAAAGAGGAAACTTGATACAAATGTTAACTTTTTGGGGCGATTCAAAATCCAAGATGGCCACCCTGGCCTCTGTTTGGCTAAGACATTATGGACTTCCTCTCAAGAACCATTGGGTGGGTCATGTTCAAACTTGGTACAGATGTTTTACACATGGTCCTGCACAAGTGTTGTTACATTTTTGCAACATTTCAAAATCCCCAGATTATTGACATATATTCCTCAGGTGACCGGTAAGGCCCCTTGGGCCTCTTGTTTAATTGAATAGCTGTGAACATTGAAAATGGTTTCTATCCTTTCCAGAGAGACTCTGTGTTTATACTGATTCAACCGATAAGTATCACAAGAAACTTTTGCAAACACACAGATAATTAATTTTCAAGAAGTCATTAAAAATCAATTTTAACAGTCATTAAAAATAAGTTTTTACTCAAGTCATTAAGAATTATATGCTAAACTTGTATTTTACTCAAGTCATCAAGTCAATAAAATCTTTTCAAAAAATAACATTGTACCTCAGTATAAATAGGTAATATTTGTGATTTCAGGATTTTGTCGTGATTAAGTCTCCTCCAAGGAAGAAAAGAGTTCTCACAGAACACCAGAAGGAGGTTTTTAGAGAGAAAAAGTAAGTAGTGTTGGATAAGTGTTGGTTTAAAAAGATATTCCTTATTGAACAGTAGGATGAGTGGCAGTTTCGAAAAATATAGACCTCTGTCAAATTAGCTGCTGTATTCAAAACCACCATGATATAACCCTAGCTTTATGAAAATGATTAAATGCGGGAAAAAATGGACACCTCCTTACATTTCAAAATACCCAACACATCAAGAAGCAGCAATCTTATGAACTTCAGAATATTAGGGCAGTTCCAGAATTAAACGTGTGTGGAGGCATTGAGCCACAGATTAAATGGGTTTTTTTGGCGAATGGTTGGAATAACACTAAAATGCATTTTATGTATGATTGGTGCAATTACAAATTGAATTATGTGGGTGATTGGTTAAATGGGAACCCCAGAAAATTAAATTGTTAGGGTAAACTTGACACAAAAAAATCAAATGCAGGTTTGCTAATCTAAAAGTTCAAGGAAGATATGTCGTGCTAACTTTAAACTCTTTGATGCAAGAACTGATGAAACTTAGAAAAAAAATGGGGTAGAATTACTTGAGTATACATGCGGCTACTACTTGGCCTGGAATCCTTAATGGGGCCATTCATTACAAAGCATTTTTTTTTTTTTTTTTTAGTCTAGCTGACTCCAGGCATGTTTGTGATACAAAATCACACCAATATATTGTAGTGGATTAGCGACAAGCTTGTTTCATTTTTACCCGCATTTGACATGACTAGAAAATGAAAGGACAACATGTGAAATAAATGAAGTGAAAATGGCATAAAACTAATACTCTTGTCCACTTGCAAACTTCCAGTATACTATACATATGGTAGCTTATAGATTGAAAAATGACGACTTTCCCAGTTTGAAATGCATGGCGACATGATGGTTTTTAGCCCACCATCGCCCTGCGTCGGTGGTCCATCTGTCAGTAAACAATTCTTGTTACCGCTATTTCTGGAAAAGTACTGGATGGATCTTTCTCAAATTTCATATGCAGGTTCCCCTTGGTTCCTAGTTGTGCATTGTACCTTTTTTGGACTAATTTGAATTCAAGATGGCCGACAGGTGGCCATCTTGGAGTTTGAAAGTAAAAATTTGTTACCGCTGTTTCTGGAAAAGTACTGGATGGATCTTTCTCAAATTTCATATGCAGATTCCCCTTGATTCCTAGTTGTGCATTGTACCTTTTTTGGACTAATTTGAATTCAAGATGGCCGACAGGTGGCCATCTTGGAGTTTGAAAGTAAAAGTTTGTTACCGCTGTTTCTGGAAAAGTACTGGATGGATCTTTCTCAAATTTCATATGCAGGTTCCCCTTGGTCCCTATTTGTGCATTGTACCTTTTTTGGACTGATTTGAAATCAAGGTGGCCCACAGGCAGCCATCTTGGATATCTACAGTAATACAGTAGTTTGTTATTGCTGTGACAGGATCCTTTTCAAATTTCATATTTAGCTTCCTCTTGGTACCTAGTTAAGCATTGTCCCATATTTAAAATGATCTAAAAAAAATGGCCTATAGCTCTCCATCTTGGATTTGAACAGCGAGTAATTGTTTTATGGCTATTTCTTACCTACATGATCAGTCATTCTCAAGTTTCAGATTTTCTAAATTAAGTAAACATTGATAAATACACTGTTTAGGGTATGTATACTAAACCATGCAATGAATTGAGTTAATGGCATATGGGTTGACACATGAGAAGTAACAGAAGAATTGATTTATTAAAAATGCAATGCTTATTTCACACAAGCATATTTTCTTCGATATTCTATCATATTGATTCAAGACCATGTCCATTATCCACCTGTAACTGACTGCTATCTAATAATACTTTGGGATCTTTTTCAAATGATATTTGCTAATAGGTGCTTAATAAAAATATCTTGTGCCATCATTGAGTACATTCAATGAAGACCAGTTCATGAACATTTAAAACACCTGCAACAAAAAAAAAAAAAATAAATAAATAAACAAATCTTCAAGAACTGAAAACAGATCCTCAAATGGTGGGCGCCAAGATCCCACTGGGATCCTTTGTTCTGTTTTGAAACATCTATATTTAGTGTGTTTGTGTAGAAATAGGAAATGTTCAGAGATCTTTTTCTTACAGTTTGGGAAAATACACTTAATATTTTTCATATTAAACTTTTGGGCAAACAGACAATATTGTTACTTGGGAAAGCAACATGTAATTTGTCATGAAAAAAGGACAACAAAATGAAACTTTGTTGGTGTTATGTTAAGATGGAAAATAAAATTCTGTTGGGGTTGCTTGATATCACAAATTTAATTGTGTGGGATATTGGATTTGATAAATGCTTTATTGTAAACATGCTTGGGTATTGTATAAATTTTATTATATGGGTGATTGGGGTTAAAAAATAAGTGCCTCCCAACCCACCCACCCCCGCTTGTAATTGTCATCATAACTTAAAAGGTACATTCATATCACAGCATATTTGGGTTTATATCAGACCGGAGAGTGATTTTGTGTTTTTAATTTGTAGAAATTTTCCAGCCATGTATAATTCCTTGGATTTGTCTCAAGATGTCTCCATGATGTCCTCGCAGTTCGGTAGTGAAAACACTCAGAATGAGTAAGTTGCCATGCTATGCTATGTTTTGTGATTTTTCATTGTGTGATGAAATATAATGCACTTAGGCTGAATGAATTGAAATTGAAAGCCATGCTCAGAAGCCTGATATTGAGTCATTAACAGCTGTGCTTAGAGGCCAGATATTGAGTCATGAAAGACTGTTATCAGAGGCCTGATATTGAGTCAATAAAGGCTGTGATCAGAGGCCTGATATTGAGTCATTAAAGGCTGTCATCAGAGGCCTGATATTGAGTCATGAAAGGCTGTGATCAGAGGCCTGATATGGAGTCATTAAAGGCTGTGATCAGAGGCCTGATATGGAGTCATTAAAGGCTGTGATCAGAGGCCTGATATTGAGTCATTAAAGGCTGTGATCAGAGGCCTGATATTGAGTCATTTATGACTGTGATCAGAGGCCTGATATTGAGTCATTAAAGGCTTTGATCAGAGGCCTGATATGGAGTCATTAAAGGCTGTGATCAGAGGCCTGATATTGAGTCATTAAAGGCTGTGATCAGAGGCCTGATATTGAGTCATTTATGACTGGTCAGAGGCCCGATATTGAGTTATTAAAGGCTGTGATCAGAGACCTGATATTGAGTCATTAAAGGCTGTGAGTCATTAAAGGCTGTGATCAGAGACCTGATATTGAGTCATTTATGACTGTGGTTAGAGGCCTGATATTGAGTCATTAAAGGCTGTGGTCAGAGCCCTGATATTGTCATTAAAGACTGTGATCAGAGGTCTGATATTGAGTCATTAAAGGCTGTGATTAGAGGCCTGATATTGAGTCATTAAAGGCTGTGATCAGAGGCCTGATATTGAGTCATTAAAGGCTGTCGTCAGAGGCCTGATATTGAGTCATTAAAGGCTGTGGTCAGAGGTTTGATATTGAGTCATTAAAGACTGTGATCAGAGGTCTGATATTGAGTCATCAAAGGCTGTGATCAGAGGCCTGATATTGAGTCATTAAAGGCTGTGATCAGAGGCCTGATATTGAGTCATTTATGACTGTGGTCAGAGGCCTGATATTGAGTCAATAAAGGCTGTCATCAGAGGCCTGATATTGAGTCATTAAAGGCTGTGATCAGAGGCCTGATATTGAGTCATTAAAGGCTGTGATCAGAGGCCTGATATTGAGTCATTAAAGGCTGTGATCAGAGGCCTGATATTGAGTCATTTATGACTGTGGTCAGAGGCCTGATATTGAGTCAATAAAGGCTGTCATCAGAGGCCTGATATTGAGTCATTAAAGGCTGTCATCAGAGGCCTGATATTGAGTCATTAAAGGCTGTCATCAGAGGCCTGATATTGAGTCATTAAAGGCTGTGATCAGAGGCCTGATATTGAGTCATTAAAGACTGTTATCAGAGGTCTGATGTAGAATTTTTTAATGTTACACATATTGTGTTTTAAAAATCTGTTTCAAAATCTCTGACGAAGACTTGTAATACTGCTATAATAACAAATAAAAGTTGTGGAGGTTCTGAACAATCACATTGTGTGATGTGTATGAAAGATCAAGATATTAATGTTGTTGACATCACATCTGCTACCAGAACTAGATCTTTCCTACATCTTTTGATGTATGGCAATGTATCACTTGTGGTTTTTCAGGGAACCATTATTTGATTCTTGATACTAGAGCAAATTGGAAAGTAATTTTAGTCTGCATTAGCGTTGACTAATTTAACACTTAACAAGGATGGTTTGAAATTTACAGGTCCCAGTTGCCCAGTTTGGATTCTGTTGTTGTCGTAGACTCCTCAGGTTCTCAAGTTTCTCAGTCCATCATGGTAAGATGTTTAAATATAAACATAAATATCTATATCCATTAAGAAATGTTATAGATTAAAAACATATCATAAAAGTGATTTTAACATAATTGATAAATTTGGAAAATGTGATAACACATTGTCTTTTAGGAAATTAAACCAATTTCATCTGTTTTGAAGTTTCTTTTATATCTCAATGCAGAATCATACAGGGAGTGTGAAAGCGACAAGGGAAGAGAATACTGCTAATGAAAAGTTAATGAAACAACCAGGAAAAGTGAAACGCCGAAGATCTGTGCGATTTCGTGACTCTGACAAACAAGATGAGGTGGATTCTATACAACGTACAAGTATTGATGACATTGAGTCTCGTAGCATTGACCATTTCTCTGTTATCCAACAGGCTATGGGTCAGACGGAGGACGCTGGGGAGATAATGTCCACAAGTGAGAAAAACAGTCCCTCCTCAGAAGAAAGTTCAGTAATACCTTCAATCCCCCAGAATCCTTTGGGTGTAATTGGAATTTTTGAACAATTAAGCAGTAAATCTTTTTCTCTAGATTCAAAAAAGAGTGACAATAGTTCGTCACAAAAGAGCGAAGAGGAAAATGTTCTAGAAGGACTTGCTGGTACAACATCCAACATTCAGCGGAAACAACCATTGCTGAGTTGGAGCAACAAACTTACTGCTCTCAGTCAGTCACCACTGTCCCACAGAAAAATTATGGCGGATGACTCTCCAGACAAATCTCAGTTACAGGAAGATGAGCAGTCAAGTCAGGAAAAAAATGATTCTTCCAGGAAAGGCAAAATAACAGATCTGTCTGGACAGGCTAAATTAGACAAATGGTTTAGTCAGCCCTCAACATTGCAGGAAGCAGAAAAAGCAAGGACAGAAATCCCAGATAGTGTACCGATCTCTCAGGTTGTAACTGTTATAGAGGAGACACAATCACCAGCAAAACATGAAGGTAGAGAGCAGAATACAGTGAAAGGAAGTATCCCAGACAATGAAAGTCCTGCACGTGTCCAGAAACAAACAGGGACAAGGGGCAGTCACAAGAAACTGTTTGGTGGGGAAAGTGGAAAAGAAATGGAGGACTTGATGGAGGATTCTAACATTATTCCTGCTTCTCCTCCAAAGCTGAGGAATAGACTTGCTGGGAAGGTTGGAACGCCTGTGCTGATGCTGAAACGACTCACTGATGATGACATTAAACAATTTAGTCCGACACGCAAGAATTCCTCACAAAACAGTCCAGCTGGCAAAAATGGCCATAAAAGTGAAGAAAATAATGGAGAAGATATGCCACAGGATTCTGAAGTAGTCAATGAAATGCATGAACATGATGATTTCTCAGAGATTCGTCCTCTCGACAGTGAAGATGTTATACCAAGTTCTCAAGGATTCTCTACATCGACAGGAGTCATTGTGAAATCAGATATAAGTCACACGGAAAGTAGTGAGATGGAAAAAACTACCGTCTACAATCAGTCCGAAACAGATGTAAGTGAGCAGAACAAAGAAATAGATAAAGATACACAGGAGACATCATTATCCGAAAATCTCTTCAAGGATGCTATGAGTGACATGAACTCTTACGATCCAGGGTTGGAATCCACATTCAAAGATGGTACTTCAGCTACGCCCAAGATGTTTGATACTAGAAACTTAAATACTTTAGAAAAGGATGAGAATATGCAAACAGATTCTGTTAAATCTATGGAGCAGATTACTTCTGTATGTGAGAACAGCAACAAATCATACAATCCAAAGGAGATTTCTACAATGGCAAGTGATGTTCCAACTCCAGGCCGAGGTCGCAAACGCAAACAGACTTCTCCGATGCATATGTCCCCGGACAGCATAAAACCAAAACGAACTAGGAAAACTCCAAAGAAATATTCAAATTTTGATGAGATAACCTATGAAGTAGAGACTAGAGTCAAGCGAACTCCAAAGTCTGGAAAACCTCGTTCTCAACGTAGACAAAAGCAGGTGGAGACGCCATTACCTGAGGAAGTGAAAAATGGTCCCATGAAAGTATTAGTAGATATACATGTATCCCCAGACAAGAAAACAGAATTTGATCTAGAACCAGAAAATAACAATGACATCAAATTGGTTGAACAAGGTAAACATGTAAATGAATCAGAAGTGATTTTCAACATCAGTGATTCGCAAGAAAAAATTCAAAATGGAGCCATTGAAATCAAAGAATCTGTGCATTCAAATAACAGTGATGTTACACAAGGAGAAGAAAAAGAAATGAATGATAAAATCAGTGGTAAAATGGATAAGAATCCTGAATTAGAAGAGCTTATTGGTGAGAAAACACCAGAGGGAAGGTCATCTCGCAGTACACCATATAGAAAGAGCACCACCAAGACCAAGAAGGAAGTTATTCAGAGACGAGCAAGACAGATGGAAATTGTCATCAACTCTGGAACTTCAAATCTTGATAGCGAGAGTTCTGAGGATGATTCATGTGTTGTTAAGATATCGGAAGTTTCAGAATCTCGGTCTGATGCAAGTTTCCATACAGCAGAATCCACTTCAGAATCTCAAAGTGATGCAAATTCTCATAAATCATTTCCTACCCTAGAATCTGAAATGGATTCTGGTTCTCAGGATTCTCAACAGAATAACTGTGATATTATTTCTGGTAGTATTGGACTAGAAGACATGTCTAATTCTAATGTACCCGTACATCAGGCTAATGATGAAAACATCACTTTGAATAACGATAAAGAACAGTGTAGTGAAACAGGACATGGAGAGGAGGATTGTGTTGTAGACAAAGACTTGCAATCTTCTTCCAACACAAATGGTATTCCAGACAGCAATGAGGATCTACCATTGTCCCTACTTAACAATAGCAATGAAGGGAGTGCTAAGGAAAGTCTGAGAAGCGAATCTGATGATGATGATGATGATGATGACGATGTGCCATTGAGTCAGATTAAACCCAAGGAGAGAAAAAAAGTTGATAAGAGAAAAGAAGACAAGATTGAGAAAGATGATGTTATGGACGAAGATGTGCCACTGAGTCAGCTAAAATTTAAGGAAAGGATGAAAGGTGACCAGAAGATGAAAAAATCTGAGATTGAAAAAGATGTACTTGATGTAACAGAATCTCAGGACTCAACTGATAAGAAAACCTCCAGGAAAAGTGTGGAGAAAAAAACTTTTACATTAACACGCTCACAAACTTCCATAACACGTTCAGGAAGTAAGAGAAGAACGCTGACAGGCATGACGAATAAAAGTGATAACAAAAATCTTAGCCTTAAGAAAACTTCTAGGCAAAAGAAACTGAAATCTAAAAAGGATGATAAGGTTAGTGAAAATGGGAGTGATTTTCAGAATGTAGAAAATGAAGTGGACACAGAAACTCGAGAAACATTGGAGAATGTACAACCTGGAACACCAGCATTGGATCACTCAGAAGCAGATCATGGAAGTCAAAATATGGAAAAACAAATCAATAATGGTGACAAAGATGCAGATGAACATTCGAAAAACAAAATCATTAGAAATGAAAACGATAACAACAATGATGACAATTTTGAATCCGCAGAATCTCCAGTGATACGACAAGAAAACGAATTGGACGAAACCCCTCGTAAAATTCCAAATAAATCATTCATCCCAAGTGGCTGTACATTGTTTGAGAGTCAGTCAGACTCAAAGTTGATGTCCACCTCTAGGAAGTTTGATAAAGGGCGCCATATTGTGGCCAGACGAAGCATCTTGAAGCAGCCATCCCCTTCACAGGACACCACAGGAGAGTCCTCACCCATTATAGGAAAGAAATTCCATCCAATCAGAGTTGGCAACGTCCATTCTCCATCAGCGTCCCCAAGTGCAGGAATTCTGAAAAAGCAACGTCTTAGTGGAGACATAGCAGCGATCTCCCCATCACCTCCTGGCAAGGTAATATAATCATGTATTGTCGACTTCATATTTTTTTTAGGGGGCAGGAATAATGAGGTTTATGATTTCATTTTGTTTGTATATTTTTGATAATGAAAATTTTACCTTTGTTAAGCCTAGGAGAATTATGTCTGTTAAGCCTAAGAGAATCCTTTCAGTTAAGCTTGGGATAACTATGTTGTTTTTGTCAGGTAGAATTATATCAGTTCTGCTTTAGGGGAATATGTCGGTTAAGCCTTGGACAATTATGTCAGGTAAGCCTTGCATAGTTATGTCAGTTAAACCTTGGACAATTATGTCACTCAAGCCAGGGAGAATTATGTCAGTTAAACCATGGAGAATTATGTCAGTTAAACCTGGGAGAATTATGTCAGGTAAGCCTTGCATAGTTATGTCAGTTAAACCTTGGAGAATTATGTCACTCAAGCCAGGGAGAATTATGTCAGTTAAACCTGGGAGAATTATGTCAGGTAAGCCTTGCATAGTTATGTCAGTCAAGCCAGGGAGAATTATGTCAGTTAAACCTGGGAGAATTGTGTCAGTCAAGCCAGGGAGAATTATGTCAGTTAAACCTGGGAGAATTGTGTCAGTCAAGCCAGGGAGAATTATGTCAGTTAAACCATGGAGAATTATGTCAGTTAAACCTGGGAGAATTATGTCAGGTAAGCCTTGCATAGTTATGTCAGTTAAACCTTGGAGAATTATGTCACTCAAGCCAGGGAGAATTATGTCAGTTAAACCTGGGAGAATTATGTCAGGTAAGCCTTGCATAGTTATGTCAGTCAAGCCAGGGAGAATTATGTCAGTTAAACCTGGGAGAATTGTGTCAGTCAAGCCAGGGAGAATTATGTCAGTTAAACCTGGGAGAATTGTGTCAGTCAAGCCAGGGAGAATTATGTCAGTTAAACCATGGAGAATTATGTCAGGTAAGCCTTGCATAGTTATGTCAGTCAAGCCAGGGAGAATTATGTCAGTTAAACCTTGGAGAATTGTGTCAGTCAAGCCAGGGAGAATTATGTCAGTTAAACCTGGGAGAATTGTGTCAGTCAAGCCAGGGAGAATTATGTCGGTTAAACCTGGGAGAATTGTCAGTCAAGCCAGGGAGAATTATGTCGGTTAAACCTGGGAGAATTGTGTCAGTCAAGCCAGGGAGAATTATGTCAGTTAAACCTGGGAGAATGGTGTCAGTCAAGCCAGGGAGAATTATGACTTTGTAGACTTTCTTTGAATTTTTGCTTCCTCTCTTTCAGCAGCGTCGAGTTTGTTTTGCTCATCCTTTGACAAGAGAACAAGACACTGAAAATCCAACCAATCAGGAGATTGATTTAATCAAATTAGCTGATTGCATCAAGTCTACTTCTCCATTGGCCAGTGCCTCCAGGGTGACATTCTCATCAGAAAAGGTTCGTCTACAATTTATGTGGAGGCTTTGACTGTGAAGCTTTTGCTTGCTTCTTTGTGCTTTTGTACAAACTTGCTTATTATAAATGTGTAGTCTGCTCTACTGATGCTTGAAACCAATATATATCTAGATATATCTGAGACACTTCTGTTGGCTGTTTGATTTGCTCACTAGAGTGACACGCATATTTATTTTCTTTTAGAAGTTGATGGCCTTTTTCTAATCACAATGTTAATGAACAAAAAGGGCAATCCTTTTGTATAACCTCAGATAGTGAAATGAACATGAGGCAAATTTGTGTATGATAATAGAATAATGATGAAAATTTCCCAGTATACATTATCTGAAGAAACTGGTCATTTTGTTGAGTTGAAGCATGGACATATGGATTGATTGATGGACATATAATTCCACAGATTGCTTGTTTTATTTCTGAATTTCCGTCTTTACAAAATGGCACCATTTAGGTTGACAGGTTTGCTAAGTCTACTTTCATTTCAGCATTTTACAGTGCCAGTCATTATGAGTCCAAGTGCCAAACACATTAAAAAATCACTGACAGTTAGTTCGAGAACAATACTAGCACAACCATTGAGTGATGTGGTATGGATTTTTTTAAATGTCATGTCTCACTTCTAACATCTGCATGATGCACGTGCAGGGTTTTCCATTAGAGCGGGTCGCCGGCCTATTTGACCAGTTACTTTGATCATTTGGCCGTCTACACCAATCCAGTTCCGTAATAATGTTCCTTACACATACACAGCAGGCCACTCCTACCTCGCTGCAGTACGGCTTGGGTCGGCTGGCTTTGCCAGCCTCCTACTTTCACTACACAGCCTACTACTAACAAAATTATGGAAAACCCTGCATGTGTCTGACAACTTCACTGTCTTAACATTTCACTGGAAATATGTATTGCTGTTCACATTTTGAATTCCTTATTTAGGTTACTCATAGGTCAACTTTTCGTCACTGTCATGTTTTAAATTTCTTGATTTATTGATTTCATCCCAGGTATTTTAAAATGTGTCACTCCTTCCTCATCTATTTCTTTTGTTGTTCATCAGTCAGCAGGCAGGGCATAAGAACTGAACCTGTTGCCCTCATAGTATCATTGTTAGAGACACATAAATTTAGGATATTTTCTTTTCACTGTCCAAACTTCTTTTTGTCTAACATCTCTCGCTTCAGCTTCACTTTTAACCTTTATCAGAGTATTTACCCTTGTGAGGACGGTTTTGGGCTCCTTTTCCTGGCCAATATCACAATGGTATATGAAAATGGTAGTTTCTCCCTCTTTTACTTACTAATTTATGCTCGGTATTGTGGTATTGTAACAACTGGTTTGCCCATTGTAAGTATATGTATAACTTGACCAAGAGGGGTTTCCTGCTAGGGGCCATCAGCAGAGTACTTCAGTGTGGCAGCACTATAAAGTTGTCAGGTTCAAATTATAAACTAGTTTTAATCAATTTTAATGCCACCATTTTTTCAGTAAACTCCTTTAAACTTGCCGTTTCTTTACGATGGAGGGGGATATCCTAGGCATCTTAATCAAGTGTATTAATCTGTGGTTTTAAGCTATTTCGGTCCTGTAGCAGTAAGCAATGGATCACATTGTCATTTTAGGGTTCCAAAAGAGGTTTTAGGATAAAAGCTTTGATAAAACCTCTTAAATTAGTGCAAGATTATCATAGTTTAGAAACTCCAATGTGTCTGTTAGGCACAACATTAGAATAGCATAATCTCTGAGATTTTCTGAACTATGATAATTTTTGACTCTAAAACATTTAATAAAAAATTTCAAGTATCAAAAAGATTAATCATAGAAATGGGTCTGTTTCTCAGCATGTGTTTAAGAAAGATTTAGTTGTTACGTCTTCTGCATATGTTGAAATATATAAACTTTGAATATTTAATAAGATTCATTGCTGGTACAGGTAAAAATCTCAGTATAGTAAGCCATTGAAGTTTGATCAGGTGACCCTGAAAGTTTGAATTAATGAAATAAGAAACAAATACATATATACCTAAATACGTCTTCCTAATTTTTCCTTATTTCTTCATTGATAGGCTGGTAAGGATTCACAGCTGACACCAACACAAAGTAGCTACCGTAGTACTCCGGAATCTCAGCTGAACAGCACCGACCCTATCTACCCAGAGCTGCTGGAGTGTGCTGATAAGGTGGACAAGATTCTGCCCCAGCTTACTACCTCAATGTGGTAAGATAATCTTGCTGATCTTGCGTTGTCATGGAATTTTCTATGGTTGTGTGATTGTTGTCCATGTTGATCTGGAATCATTATCATCAGTCTGGCAAATTAATTATAACTACCCTCTTCCTGACTGAAGTTAGAGGGGTGGGTGAGAGAGTATACTGGAACCAGGTTGTCTGTCTGAAATTACTGAATTGATTTCAACAAAACTTGTTGGCTATTGGGTCGAACCACCTCTGCTTTTCAGAAAGATATGTCCCTTTGGGAACAGCAGGGGTATAAGTTGGACCCAGGAAGACATTTCTAGTTTTTGTAGGGTTTGAAAGTTGTATAAAGATCAAGTTTGATTTTAAGGTTACTGAGATGATGTTCGCCATGTGTATAAAAAAAACCATCAAGTTCAAACATGTCAGACAGAATTTATCTCATTGCTGTGTTTTTGAAAATGTTCTGTCATGGGATTTAGGAAAGAAATTCTGGAACCTATTCTAATACCCTTCATCTTCTTCTCAAAAACCCCTGATCCAATTTCAGTGAAATTTTGCAGAAACCTTCCCTGGCCTAAGAAGAACCAAAATTGTGAATAATACAGTTCCCACCATCCAGGGGCCTGAGGGGTGGGGCCAAAAGGTGTCAAATTGACTCAGATTTCAACTTAGACTTTGGACTAGACTTTACTGAAATTTTCATCGAAAAACAGTATTTTTGAGCATAACGTTGATTATTTCCAAATAACTTTACAAGAATTATCAGTATAGGCTGACAGTTTTGAAGGAATACACTGCCTATATTCAGTGTCACATTTTCTGTTTCATGAGACCTTTATATTCAATATTGCTTATCTCAGGTGACTGTAAAGGCCGCTAGGCCTCTTGTTTGTACAGAGACAGAAGTTTATTAAAATTTATTTCTTCCGTGTCAGCAGAGTAGTAAAAGTATTAAAAAATAAATTTAACTTTAAAGATAGATCTTTTCCTGACATAAAAAAATTCCTCAGCAGTTAAAACAGAGTAATCTTACTAAATATTGATACAAAAAAATATCTAATGTCTTTGACCATGATAGAAATAGAGACATATTAAGCATGTGATATATTTGTAAATTTGACATTTTGTAGGAGTCTGGACGTATTTTGCCTCATGTAAGTGATTGTGCAGATCTTTTTGTGCAGTCACTTTGTACCAATCACCCCAGATCACTTGGTACAGATCTCTTCCATAACTGTTTAATAATGTATTGATTTGTATTTCAAATATTAGCACCATGCCTGTTTATTGGATAAAACAAGTTATATGTTATCTTTGTAGGATGAGAGGCCTTGGACAGCTAGTGAGGGCACGTAATATCCATACCATAGGTGATCTGTCTGCTCTTACGGAACGGGAAGTTGACAACCTGCCTATAAAATCACCTAAAGTTTCCATAGTGCGTAGTGTGCTTCAGAAGTTTGAGACCCAGAAAGAGTCGAGGAAGGTCAAGAACCAGAAACTGAACACTGTAACAAAAGGTAATGGTCAGCTGATGGGCTTTGGTCAGCTCATCAAGGACAAAAACTTGTTTCTTGTATGCACTACTTTACACAACTTCATGGTTTTACTTGACTCTATGGCCTTGTTATAAGCATCGGGTTCCTTCCAGGGTCACACTAAGGTCAATCACACTAAGGTCAATCAGTCTTGACACCCAGGTGTATACCACTATTAATATACAGTAACTTTCCAGGGTAAGAAATTCTTTGTTTCTATTTAAATCAAAAGGCATGTAAGAGCCAGTTAATAAGTATATCCATTTGAACTCTGGAAGAGGTCATCTGTAGCTTTCCCCAAAACCTACAGCTCTAAGGACAAATTACAGGTAGTGTAATAAGTATATATACACGAACCAATGAATGTATGTGCATTACACGACTGTCTGTCCTAGATTTTCGGTATCTGTTTGGGAAAATCGTTCGAGGTGGTCAGACAATCTTTATCTTCTCCAGACTTCAGCCATTTGATTGCTAGCCCGCCTCCATTCCCCAGTCTCGCCTCCATTCCCCAGTCTCGCCTCCATTCCCCAGTCTCGCCGCCATTCCCCAGTCTCTCCGCCACTTGATTTGTTCTACGTACTTGTTGAATATGTTAGATGTGTATAGTCATGCAATGGAAGGGTATCCTACTTTTGTTGGCGATAACTGCCCAGGTACAAACCCAACAAAAATTACCATTCAGGTCCACTAAGTAGGACAGAGACTTAAAGACTGCGGTCAAGTAGTGAAATAAAAGTGGACAAACAATTCACAATATTATGGTGTAATATTTTATCTCTGGACAAACAATACACAATATTATGGTGTACTATTTTATCTCTTGACAAACAATAGACAATATTATGGTGAAATATTTTATCTCTGGACAAACAATACACGATATTATGGTGTAATATTTTATCTCTGGACAAACAATACACAATATTATGGTGTAATATTTTATCTCTGGACAAACAATACACAATATTACGGTGTAATATTTTATCTCCACCAAATTTTTACATCAATTCTCTGTGTTGTAGCTCCAGTCTCTGCAGAAATTACTGAGGAAGAAAGTTTGTCACCTGTGAAAAAGCTAGCTGTGGTCAATCAGATGGAAAATTTTGAAAACGCAAAACTTACTGCAGAAAAAGGTATGTTATATTTCTGAAGCCAGAAAATGATGTTACTTAAACTATAGGTACATCCTAGATCATGGTCAATATGTATTCTGAGTGTGATAACAGATTTTTATTAACCACTTCAATGAGTATGATTTCAGAACATATTTCAGAAAAGCTTTTTCATCTTGACCATGTACTGTAAAATCTTCACTTTTTTTTTCTCTTTATTAATTTATGGGGAATATTTTTAATTTATGAATCGATATGTCCAGAAAATGGATTACCTACCAAAATTGACCTGGAGTATAATACTTAATATTTATAGGAGACATGATTTTATTATAGAGTATCTGAGGTGTCATTAGAATATCTTTAAAATTCTTTATGGAGTTGGAATAATTTGTTGCAGGTGATGAAGATAGTGACCCTTTCCCCACAAGTAGCCATGGGATGTTGGAGGATATGGATTGCACAGACAGTTTACCAACAACAACTAATCCTTCTGATGTGGAGAATCCTGTTCAGAACACAGAAAGTTCAGAATCAGCCGCAGGATCTCTCCTTCATTCACTTGAAGACATTGTCAGTCAGTGTAATGATAAGACAAGGATGAGTGAATTTGGAACTTCAGATATTTTCCAGATCCATCACCATCTAACAAACCTAACAGCGACTGTTATGTCGGTTCTCAAAGATAGATGTAAATGTCCGGATTCCTAACTTATGTAGAATTTATCAACAACGTTTTATTAAACACCCATGCTGTATGTTGCTGATGTTATTCTGATCCAATCCAATCAAATAAAAAACCAACAAATCTTGACATCAGCTGATGATCCCTGAACAGCCATCTTTAATCGTCAGCTGATCTGACTAAATTTCTTTCCAACAAATGAGTTTAAATTTACCACAGTACACCTTTGAAATTATTGACGGGTAAAGTTGCCGATTGTCAATCTTCACAACAGAACAAAAAGCCCAATGATTAATGGTACAATTTTGTGTAGTAGAAGAGGTAAATTTATTTTAATTATTTACCGTACCTCTCTAGCAATAAGTTTAGGTCTGTTGATAAGCCCACACATAGCCATTGCAGTTAATATGTTAAAATACAAATAAATATCATTCAACTAGGCTTTAGTGTTAGCCCCCTGGGGTTATGTCTGCCTATTGTAATAGACCTGATTTGTGTTCATCATACACTGAAGGATTTTGTAAGTCTGTTTGTCTCGTAAGTCTGTAAATTTCTCAAAAAAAACATTGCAGAAAAGTTATTGAAGTTTGGCAAGTTGCAATATAAATTTATTACGAAACAGACTGGTACACTCTGGAATGTTTCTTTATGTTTTGTGTTGATACTTGTTGCTGTACAAAGCTAAGTTTGGATCTGTGTTACTAGAAGGTAATACTAACCCTTTAGGTTGATATTTTTGGGGAAATCTGGCCAAATTGGTGGCATTGATGAAAAATGAAAATTAATATTTTCATTGCTTGAAAGAAAAAAAAATCAATTTTGAGATTTGAAAACACATTTGCTGAATCTTGATTGTGTATTGATAAAGTTGCTGAATATTGTTATTTGTAGCTGCTCATTGTTTCAAACACAAACTTGTTTCAGACTAGTCTTAAACAATATAAATATATATGTATTAAAGGTGGGAAAGGCACTGAGAATTTAGGTAACTTCCACCTTCTAAAATTGTCGTTTTCTGAAAATTCTGAAAATAAAAACATTGCCCTCATTTTCTTCTCATTTAGCAACACAAAGTGAACCCCAGTAACTAATCAGTGGACTTGTGTGGATGACAGTGCTATTTAAAAAACTTTGATAATATTTATGATTTGAACACATGCTTGGTGTAAGCTTCTCTAGCAAGAAACAGTCTCCCGAAGCTCTGAGGTTGAAACTTCGTTATATGTGTTGTATATATCTAGGTACTTAATTTAAAATCTGATTTCTGCTAGAACATAAGTTATGTAGGTGATTATTGTACACCAAAACAGTTGTAAGCACCAGGCTGGATTTGTCTTGGTATTTGTGCCATCATCATTTACGCAGTATATTTATAAATAAGGATGGATCATAACCAACTGAAGATATAACTGCCAATTTTTAACATTTTTTCAGTATTTTTTGATACCAATTATGTTTTATAAATGAGTGGCAAGGGATGCATGAGTCAACACACCTGGAGTCGTTTGTGAAAGTTTGAGGTAGCTGTATGTTGTTATCTTCAGGAGACATGGTGAAATGCTTGTTTGTATTGTCTGGAGAAATTAGATGTATAATAGGATAATCAAGCATGTTCGTTGAGTATGTAAGAAGAGTTAAACTTGTGTGAAAGTTTCTTTAAAATGTTTCATTTTATAATGTTCCAGAATTATTCTTGTACAGGAAGTGATGTGACATAAAACAGTGTTCTATTTTTGTGTCCTGGGGTTGTAAAGGAATGAAGTAAAAAATAACAATTGATTTCTCAATAATATGTAAAACTAGAGTCTTGTATAAAGGTAGGCTTTGAGAAAAATGTATTAATTTTCGTTACATAGAGAATTTTGTAAATGTTGCAATTTAAAGTGCAACTGCCTTCTGCTCCTGAAAATAGGATTGATACATCTAAGTCTGAAGCCTCTTCATTCTGCATTGTACAGGGATATTGTTATATAGAAATACACCAGAATGGTAAAATGCTGAGTCTTAATTTCTTCTCATAATTCTGTATCTTTTTACAAAAATTACCATGATAGATTTTAATTGATGGAAATGTATGTTGCGTTCCCAGATTGTAAATACAGTCTTGTATATAGAAACTATAAAGTATTAAGACACTACATAATAAAGTTTCCATATGACATATTACAATACTAGAGAGAAAAAAATAAATGAAATCTTCAAATACTAGAATATTACTTTATAAAATCCTAACAAGTATGCTCGTCAGCAAGGATGAAGTTTATTGTTAAAATACATTCAACTTTCAACATCAAATTATTTGTTTTTCTGATATTTTATTCTGAGAATGAATTGACAGATATTGACTGGTGAAGTTATTTTTGTATTGGTTTAATAGAGGGCGTTTTGCTATGTAATTGACACATTAAGATATACATACTCTATATCTTTTGTATATTTTCATCTTAGATAATAAATTGTATACTATAATGTCCTGCTGTTTTCTGTATTCATATCCTCCAAATATATAGACACACAGGAAGGCCTGATAAAAACTTAGGCACTCATTGTCAAACTAGTGACCTGTGTAAAAGAACTCGTCCAGATGAGAAATTCACTACAGAAATGGTAGACTTTCACTCTGAACAGTTTGGAGGCTGGTAGTTGAAGAGAATTAGGGTTGAAGCCAAGTTTCATTCTGACGACACACTGTGGCTAGTATGATATCAAGTGATATAAAAGATAGCTATCTTGTAGGCTGGTGGACAACACTTAAGCTTCTGTGATACTTGTTGACATCAACAAGTGGTATTTTTACTGTTCTAGATTCAAGTCCAGAAGGACCAAGTAGTTGTCATCTTTAAATACATGGGAAGTTCCAGAAACACAGAATCCTTAACTAATTTATGAAGACAGTATCTTATTTCAGACTCAAGGTCTATGGAACAGGGTATACCATGGACGAAGGACAGATTTACACACTCTTTGGAAAGGTCAAGGTCATGCTTCGTGGTCAAGTAAATAATGTAATGTCCTCAATGGGGACAGGGTCACACTATGCATACTAACTTTATATTACTTAAGGAAACAATTCTTAGGAATGACGACCAATACACGTTTCCATAGTCTTCACCAACCTGTTACTCGGATTACTGGTGTACATTTTGTCTCGATTGCTGCAACAGAAATCATTTCATCACAATCCTCTTGTTATTCAGTCGATGGCCTTTGCAAGATTTTTGTGTATATGTCACCTGTTTTATATCCCCTGGAGCGTTTTTCATTGGCTGCACGATCCAGAAATATATGTGATGTCATAATATGGACAATGCCGTTACGTCATGAATGAAAATTACACAATAAAATGTCTACCTCCGTTTGATTTTATCATCTACACTTTTAATTTAAAACCTGTGAAAACGTTACTCTTTTTGAGTTATGTATCATAGCAATTTATGAAATTCGTCTCAAAGTTTTAAGCTTTGGTTGCAAATTTTTTTTTTTAAGTCTAAAGTCTCGTGAAATGAACAGTCAATAAGATTATAGAAATGTAATGGGATTAAGCTCTTGAGCATGAAATAGAATGATCTTTTTAACGCCGTGTTGATCACGCTGAATTTCAGTGCAGTATCTGCTGAAAGCGTGACGAAGAGAGGACTGACTGTACAGGAACACTCTTGAGAAAGGAGAATAGTGTTTCGGAGGAAAAATCATTTAGATCCTTACTCCTTTTTTGCTTTGCAAAGCATAGCGATAAAGTTCTAAGAATGTCACCACGAACACTTCGTTGTAAAGCTATCGTGCTAAAATGAGTGCTGACTCCGTACCGATATCAAAGATTTAAATTCAACTCGTTCTTATGATGAAGTTTATTTGACTAATTTTTAAAATTCTTTCGCGTCACTAGTTCCCACTCTCACCTGGGAGAGTATGAAATGTACAATGCCACAGCTTCGTACAGAGGGCATCGCCAAGGTTGGAACACCAGCAGGAGTTGCAGCCATCTACATCCGGGAACATGTCATGTACATTGTATGTCTTGCCGTGATACTTGCACGTGGTCACGTCACGTTCGTCGGTTGATTTGACGTCACAAACAGCGTCAGTACACAACGATCCACCATGAGCCGAACAGAAACATGAGTTGCACCCGTCCGCGGCTTTCCAGCTAGCTCCCGCCCAGTACACCTGGCCGTTGTAGTGACATCCTCCTGTCTGACCGCTAAATAGGGTCGTGTCCGGTGTTGGCAATTCTCCTACAAAACAACAGTGTCAGTAAAATTGTTAAATGCTCGCCGAAAACACTTTTACTGGACACAAAATTTTAATTAAGAGGAATAATTATGTAATTACTGGGTTTCGGGCCCAGAATTTGGTACACTGCACATCTTCTTAGTTTGATCAATTTTTATTCCCCTGTATAAATGAAAGCAAAGTTATGCTCCGGACACGGACCAATGCTGTTGGCAAAGAATCATCAAGAAAATACCAATATGGCAACATAATCATGATTCGAGCTCAAAATCAGGGCAAAATAGGAACAGAAGAAAGATTTACACGGAGTCTTCTGAAAAAGTACAAGGAAATTGTGTTCCGAAAGTGGAAGCGTCCATGCTTTATCAACGACACCGTCATGTAAACTTTGGTCAATCCAAGTAAGTAATGTCAAGTTTTCAAATGAGAACAAGATATACAACAACGGAACCAACAGGCAAACTAACGAGCATCAAATACGCCAAGCTTTATGTCGCACAAAGAAACAGAATACTTCTCAATTGGATTAATTTGGCGACCATAAAACTTCCCCATAATTTTCACCAACCTGCATCTTTCGAACCCTTGTGTTACGAGCTTGTCAGTCAGTTGACGACTTCCTGCGCGAAAGTCGTGATAATGGGAAAAGGCCATTGGATATCGAATCAACTGTGTAAATACTATAGGTTTGAGATGTAGGGAAATTGCAATCCAGAAATGGAAAATTCACAACAGGGAAATTAAATAATCACGTTTATTATATAGCTTGATGGAAAGCTGTTCATGTTGGTTTCGTTGTAGAAAAAGATCGAGATAAGCAGCTGATGTACAAGAGTCTGTCGTATCTTTTATTTCCAGTTCTGGTGGATATGTACGATGGATGTAGTCAATAAATATCTTGTTATTTAAAGACAAGACGTCATCAATATGTTCGAAAGTGAAATTAAACGACTTTGCAAGGTTTTTGTGACCTCATGAAAACAAAAACAAATCAGCCAATAGAGGGGCGCAGTTGGTTCCATAGGTATGCCAAAAGTCTGTTGGAAAATATTAACACCAAAGTTAACCTCCAGGCACGAAAGGACGGATGGAGAGACGGATGTCCGTACGGGCCCAACGGAAACTACGTGCTCCACCGAAAATTTACGGGGAGCATAAAGGCAACAATTTCAATACTATACTGAGATATGACGGTTTCTCTACCAAAGTATTTGTATATTAACAAAATCGAAGTTTAAGGTTTAAGTCAAGACCATGCTAAATGATCTGCATGGCATTATGTGATCGTGTCTGCAGACAAAACATCTAATAACCTGATCATTGTCGGTAAACATATACCCTGCATTCAAAGTTCGTCAATCTATACATTATCAAATCTTTCCAAAACGGAAATACAAGCTAAGCACTATGCTTTAGTATTAGACCGCCAGTTAATTATAAGGATACGGACCTTCCTCGTTTACAATGGATTCCTACACTTGATATAAACAACGTTGTAGTCTCTTCAAGTTGTTCAAGCAAACTTCATCCAAGCTTCTTCGTATTATTAAATCAGAGTCTCTGTCTTATTGTGATTCTGAATCCCAGAAGTGGAAACAGTGGAATGCTGATTTCACAGAATTCCCGTTTTGATCAATCTAGAATATCGTTTCAGTCAATCATGTGATTGCTTCCATTGTATACACTACCATACCCGTTCCAATTATAAACGTCAACCTGGTTAACGGGAGCATACATAAAGATATCATTTTTATCAGATAGAAAGGTGAACGGCGATGCAAATACATAGTTGTGAATTATACTAGAACGTATGTTTTGATTTGAGCCAAATGAATTTTCGCTCCCGTTGTAACACTTGGGATGTTTACATTTTTCCTTTCCAACTTGCTATTTCTGTGCTTTGTTTTCCCTGTGTCCCCTGGCTATGCATCCGTATATGATCTGACTCTTTCGGGACAATAAATTTTGAAAATATTGACATTTTCATAATGTTTTATATTTACAAAATTTCGAAGTCCGAAGCTTTAGGAGAGGGCCTGGAGTTCGAAATCAGGGAGTTTTTTTTATGGTCAGAGATACGTTAATGATAAATGTATCTTATTGATAAGCACACATAAGTAATTCATTTACAATGTCTTAAATTCCACTCTGGTACATTGCAAACATTAAAAATGTGGAAGTATTCTATTATGAAAATATGTTCTCGATAACCTTGAGAAACTTCTGAGTTTAGATGAAAACTTGACCAAATTACACGCAGATCACCCGTGTATCTACCATATCCTGTAGCATTCCCGAAACGGCGAGACTGTCATGGCGTCTTTAGTACTTTGTCTTGACAGCTTATCCATGACAATATTCTAAAGTATGGAGCATTGGAAGTTTTAAATTCATGCACGTTTAGAGTTTTTTCTACCAAACCCTTTACGATACATACTATCTTTGCGCGCTGATTTGGCTACATATAACTATTGTTTTCATTTCAGTCATTATGAACAATAAATGAGAAGTAAATTCATTAATGCCCCTCTAATACGGATACTGGATTCTTAGGCTTATCCATAACGTGGAAACAGTGCCCGTTTTAACCTTTGTGAGTTGTGATAATAGCTGTCGTTGATTTAAACAACTTGCCATCAAGCATTTTGTAGATACACTAACTCACAGAAGCTTGAGTCTAAGGATAATAGTACTGATATATCAGTAACTTTCACAAAACAAGTGAAATGTTTGCCTTCGTCCGATAACTTAGCCTTCGTACTCCCATGTTCCTTCACGTCTTTTAACTTCAGAGATTTCCGTGTCATAAGTCGTGTTTGTAACTTACAAGTTCTAGTTAATTTTTTCATTCTTTTTGGGGTATTGTTATGAAACAACTCTACAATAGTTCATAGATTCAGCGAAAATGCAAGTGAGAACTTTTATGCTTTTGGTCCAATTTCTCTCTCTGAGATGTAAAAAAAAGACATATAGATGTAAACATACGTCGAAAAATTAATTTCGACTGAAGGGGAAAAGCAATGTGGTTCATAGCAGATCTACTTACGTCCAACAGGGTTAATAATGCATGCCATCTCAGTACAGGCTACAGCGCCGCCACGTGAACAGAAGCAATGATTACAATGGTCTTTGGCAAGAACATTATCTCCCACGTGCATCACCTTTCCCTCGTACAAACAAGTGTCACTGCGATCTAAGTCACCTACAAGTATAATCCAGTATACTTTAGTCAGAATGGTTACCTTGCTGGTGGGTTTCTCTTCACAAACGAAGAAAACACGTCAAATTCAAAATGAACGATCACGTTGACAGTTACCATTGTATACCGGTTTTGGAATCTGAAAGTTGTATTGGTAGTTCGATGGATAATGAATTGTTCACTTTTATCGGAATCAAATGTCATTTTTAATGCCATCAATTTACTCCTCTTGTGTCGTTTAGGTGTGCCGTTAAAACAATCTTAGTTGCCTCATGTTAAATGTTTTTATATAGACATAGCGATCCTGGAAAAGGCTTTATCAACGAACTCTTATTTATGTCTTGGCTTTATTACTGTTACTCACGTCCGACGAGACAGAACATTTGGGTACATCCGGCCACGCCCGCAGAGGAACAGAAACAGTGATTGCAGCCGTCCGGCGCGGCCCAGGTCTCTCCAGGTTTGTACATTATACCGTTCGCCTCGCAGTGACCTAAAAAATCAACGATTTTTACATCTTTTGTTTTATTCTTAAATATAAGGGACGTCATTCACCTAACATAAATCTTATAACGTCGCCAAGAAATACTTTACCTGTCAGTTACCAATGTCACGGAAACGAATGTGGATTTACTCAAATCCTTCTACAAATGTTCTTGAAATCAGAATTAAACTGTTCTATTAAAGAGGTCCTCCCTTTTTCTATGATGACGTCACATTGCACGTTTCATGATGAAATAAAAAAACGCCACAAGAGAACAATGGAACCATTCAGCCAATCAGAGATACGGATATATTGTGTTGTAGGAGATTCGACGTAATGAAAGAAAAGCTGCCCTTTAGTTAGTATCAACAGGGTACCTAAATATGCATTGCATTTAGGATGAAATGCATGTTTACAATAACTCATGTTTGGATTATTGATGATGTAGGTTCTATTAATAGCCGGGGTCATTTCAGAATGTGCCAGATTCTGGTGGGAGAGGAGAGCCAGAGTTAATGAAGAAAAAACCCCGACCTGCAGCAAGTACCTGGCGACTCCACTAGATAGGTCTTGAACCCGTGACCCAGAGATCGAGGGCTAGACGGTCAGACGCCTGAACTACACATTACATTCAGGATAGGGTGTTGGTACATTACATTCAGTAAGTGGTACAGGTAAACAATACATTCAGTATGTAGTGCAAGTATACAATACATTCAGTATGTAGTGTAGGTATACAATACATTCAGTAAGTGGTACAGGTATACAATACATTCAGTATGTAGTGTAGGTATACATTACATTCAGTAAGTGGTACAGGTAAACAATACATTCAGTATGTGGTACAGGTATACAATACTTTCAGTATGTGGCACAGGTATGCAATAATTCAGTATGTGGTACAGGTATACAATACATTCAGTATGTAGTGTAGACATACAATACATTCAGTATATAGTGTAGGTATACAATACATTCAGTATATGGTGTAGGTATACAATACATTCAGTATGTGGTGTAGGTATACAATGCATTCAGTATGTGGTGTAGGTATACAATGCATTCAGTATGTAGTGTAGGTATACAATACATTCAGTATGTGGTACAGGTATACAATACATTCAGTATGTGGTACAGGTATACAATACATTCAGTATGTGGTACAGGTATACAATACATTCAGTATGTGGTACAGGTAAACAATACATTCAGTATGTAGTGCAAGTATACAATACATTCAGTATGTAGTGTAGGTATACAATACATTCAGTATGTGGTACAGGTATACAATACATTCAGTATGTAGTGTAGGTATACATTACATTCAGTAAGTGGTACAGGTAAACAATACATTCAGTATGTGGTACAGGTATACAATACATTCAGTATGTAGCACAGGTATGCAATAATTCAGTATGTGGTACAGGTATACAATACATTCAGTATATAGTGTAGACATACAATACATTCAGTATGTAGTGTAGACATACAATACATTCAGTATATAGTGTAGGTATACAATGCATTCAGTATGTAGTGTAGGTATACAATACATTCAGTATGTGGTACAGGTATACAATACATTCAGTATGTGGTACAGGTATACAATACATTCAGTATGTGGTACAGGTATACAATACATTCAGTATGTGGTACAGGTATACAATACATTCAGTATGTGGTACAGGTATACAATACATTCAGTATGTGGTACAGGTATACAATACATTCAGTGCGTTACGATATCCCGATAGCATCTCCGTGAACGGCTCACGCCATTTCAATACCTGAACATATACTGTGATATTTATGATAACTTATGGTAATTTGGTTTACGATACTGGCTTATAAATGCTCAAAAAGCGCAATTGTTTTTTACGCCGATCAATTGCATACAATACATTCAGTACAATACATTCAGGAATTGGTGAATGTATACAATACACTTCAGGGCTACCATATGCTATAAAGACTGATAAGAAAGCTAGATAAATGTTTACTGTATACTATCACTGTATATATTGATGAATACTGAACATATTAATTTCTTCATCTGATGGCTTAGCAGAAAGCATCTGTATGCCTACTTGGATCTGGTGTTGTGTAGCCGGGTGCGCACACTTTCTTTGTACAGATCTCGCGGATGTTGAAGCAGACGCATTCGTTACATCCGTCAACTGATGGAAAAGATTGTCCGCTCGTGTACACAGTGCCATGATACACACATTCCGCTGTGTAATACATAACATATGTTGGTTATAAACAGTTTACAACAATACAACGGGTTTTGATCATTCTTTAAACCATTTCTACTAATATCATTTGACTCTACTATCATATAGTGATGAAACTCAATATAAGATTTAAGCCGAATAGTTTTTGTAAATGTCGTCATAATATGAAATCAGGTACGTGTACTATGACCTGTGTCAATATTGCACCGTTAACAGTCAAATATGACATTTTAAATATCATTCAATAATCATATTTCTGTTTAATGGAACCAGTACAAGTTAAAGGTAGCTATACAGAATGCTCAATTAATACAGTGACTTTTTACATTATGATATGAAGAAGATATGCCCCATGTTTGTTTATCTGCCTTGTGGTGTCGTTGTGTTATATGAAGAAGATATGCCCCATGTTTGTCTGCCCTGTGGTGTCGTTGTGTGATATGAAGAAGATATGTCCCGTGTTTGTTTGTCTGCCTTGTGGTGTCGTTGTGTAATATGAAGATATACCCCATGTTTGTTTGTCTGCCCTGTGGTGTCGTTGTGTGATATGAAGAAGATATGCCCCGTGTTTGTTTGTCTGCCTTGTGGTTTCGTTGTGTGATATGAAGAAGATATGTCCCGTGTTTGTTTGTCTGCCCTGTGGTGTCGTTGTGTGATATGAAGATATGCCCCGTGTTTGTTTGTCTGCCCTGTGGTGTCGTTGTGTGATATGAAGATATGCCCCATGTTTGTTTGTCTGCCCTGTGGTGTCGTTGTGTTATATGAAGAATATATGCCCCGTGTTTGTTTGTCTGCCTTGTGGTTTCGTTGTGTGATATGAAGAAGATATGTCCCGTGTTTGTTTGTCTGCCCTGTGGTGTCGTTGTGTGATATGAAGATATGCCCCGTGTTTGTTTGTCTGCCCTGTGGTGTCGTTGTGTGATATGAAGATATGCCCCATGTTTGTTTGTCTGCCCTGTGGTGTCGTTGTGTGATATGCAGATATATCCCATGTTTGTTTGTCTGTCTTATGCCTTGTTTTATAAAGTCTGGTGTTGGCATGATAAACAGTGAATCAAATACCAAATTTAAAAAACATTTATCAGTTGATTCAGACCACTCCCAGCGAGATATCTCGAATGATTTAGTTACAAAAGTTCCCCAAAATTGGGTCGTCGCGATAGGCCGATTGAGCTTCAAACTTTGTTATAAGTATGGTTATATCCACAGACGAGGTTGGGTCCTTGTCTAGGAATGCCTCTGATCATATGTTATGTGTCAATATTGAAGAAACTAGACATATTTGTTCACATTTGTGTATAATCGTTTTCTGTAAAGATTACAATAGTCTTTCCTTTTACAGAAATAAACCGGGTAAAGTCTAACTACTAAAGTGCTAACCTCCATAGCCGTTTGGAGCACTGCCCGCACACGCCTCTTCGGTGCAAGACACTTTGCCGGCATTACATGTGCACGTGTTGCAGCCGTCAAAGGAATTAAAGCTATGTCCATCCAGGAAGGTATTGCCGTAGTATGTACAGGATGGTGACGGTTTCACCACTAAAACAGTAATATCAAAATTATTTTTCATGTAGTTTTATCCACACTTACAATTTCCATTGTGTCAATACTATTTGTGTTTTAAAATGGCCCTATTTTGATATAGTATCAGTTAAAATGATTTAATTATCGAATTTCTATCCATACTCAGTGACTATGACCCGTTATCCTTAACATCCCCGAAGCCTCATATTTATAAAGTGACCCTTGGCTCGAAATGAAAATGTTGTCAAATTTATAAGTGTACTACACGAGGTGAAATGTTTTGCTTTTTAACAAATCCTTTATATTAAATGTATAATATGTTAGCTAATCGTATTCAGCGACTGAATTAATTTACATATTAAATAGTATTTCGTCACAGAAGAACTTCTATATACAGTATTTGCATGCATTGCTAACACCCGAAGGGTAAGAAAGTCGCATGACACTAGATCAGGTACCATTTAAAACGGATACAAAGTTAGATTCCTGACTCGCATATCATAAGATTAGGAACCATGCAAAACGGATAAAATGTTAGATTCCTGACTCACATGACAATGGATAAAGAACCTTGTAGTTTAATGATTCAGGAATTTCATCTTTTACAACTATTATTCCAGAAACACATATTTACCGTTCATTGGTCCAAGACAGAACATTGCTGTACAATAGACCATTCCGCCATTACTACATCCACACGAGTTACAGCCGTCCACGGAGAAGAAGTTGTCCCCTACCGAATAGACAGTCCCGTTGTACACACATGTGTGTATCTGGCCCACTCCATCTACAATCCGAGTCATTCTGTTTAAGGTTTTGGTAAAACGAATTGAAGTTATCAATGTTCAGTAAACTTATACATTTTGTTGATATACTTTATCCATTATAAAGTATTATTTTTTAATATACTTTATCCATTATAAAGTATTATTTTTTAATATACTTTATCCATTATAAAGTATTACTTTTTAATATACTTTATCCATTATTTTTTAATATACTTTATCCATTATAAAGTATTATTTTTTAATATAATTTATCCATTATAAATTATTATTTTTTAATATAATTTATCCATTATAAAATATTATTTTTTAATATACTTTATCCATAACAAAGTATTATTTTGTTGATATACTTTATCCATTATAAAGTATTATTTTTTAATATACTGTATAAATTTTAACCTATGATTTAAGATGTCAATCACGTGTAAATCTCTATTTTCTCGTACATCAGACAGGAAAATCTCATTTAGTTAGTTCTGTCTCTTCCGATCGATCTGATTGATATCTTTTTGCGATATTTTCACAATTAAAAAGACCTTATATTCAATTGTCCTTCTTACGTATGACCACACAGGGAGAAAATCGAATCGAAGAATTTAGAAATTCAACTTTAGGTTGAGAAAGTGTTTTGCAATCTTGCAATAATACGCAAAAAATAGATATGTTACCAGCATGAGTTCGAGATTTTGTAACAGAATGTAAGCCCGCGGATAATCTTGATCACATACAGGTAAGCTATGTCATTAGACTTACGGTTACACGCCATATAAGTACACGCCACCATCCCGTTAGTACAAGAACAAGTATTGCATCCATCTGTAGCATTAAACTTGTCCCCAGCTGTGTACTCAACGCCATCATACAAACACGTTTCTGTAATAGTATTATCATTCAGTCAAGCTGCAGCTTTATTTAACTGACTATAGAGGATGCTATTTTATCGAGGACATAATAAATACGAAAAACAAATGTTTTGAAAAATAAGAGAAAATCATATTCCGTTTAACTTTCTTCCTAGAAAAAATATAAAGTTGCAAAGATTTGTAGCTTTAGCGAAGCATGGAAACTCTTAATAACTCGCAAAAACACACAAAGGAGGTTGCTTTAATTCTGATAGACAAATACATCTTACATAAATCAAAGATAAAACAATATGATATGCCATGGTTACCATAGAAACAACTGACTACTCACCTACAGCTCTTAATGCTTTATCATCACTTTCCGTACAGACTACTGTCCCATGTAGACATTTACACGTGTCGAACCCGTCCACGGCGGGGAATGTTTTCCCGTCATGATATTTCTTGCCGTCGTATGTACAGCTCTCTGGAAAAGTAATAACCTCCTATCGGTATGTCCTCAGCTTGTAATCTATCAATATGGTGCGTCCAATTCTATGTCTAGCATATCAAAATATGAAATAAAATTAAATCTGGTTTGTTTGAACACGAGACAATTATTTTACTAGATATATCTAATGAATTTGCGTGGAAGGAATCTAAATCATAACTGATCAATCAGTTTCCATGGATGTCTTACAGAAACGTCGTTAATGTGCAATATTGACTTAAGAGCTCTCAACGTATTTCAAATAAGAATTTTCAGTTTCAACTAGATTGCTTCCCTCATTATTAAAATTATTACTTCTCTTGCTGTCGTTAATGTCCCGTTCGGAGATACTTTCCGTACAGACTACTGTCCCATGTAGACATTTACACGTGTCGAACCCGTCCACGGCGGGGAATGTTTTTCCGTCATGATATTTCTTGCCGTCGTATGTACAGCTCTCTGGAAAAGTAATAACCTCCTATCGGTATGTCCTCAGCTTGTAATCTATCAATATGGTGCGTCCATTTCTATGTCTAGCATATCAAAATATGAAATAAAATTAAATCTGGTTTGTTTGAACACGAGACATTTAGTTTAATAGATATACCAAATGAATTTGCGTGGTGGGAATCTAGGTTATAATTTATCAATTAATTCCCAGGGATGTCTTACAGAACATGTATAATTGAATTAAGAGCGACTTAAAGTATATCAAATCAGGATTTTCAGTTACAAAGAGATTGCTTCCCTCATTATAAAAATTATTACTTCTCTTGCTGTCGTTAATATCCCGTTCGGAGATACTTTCCGTACAGACTACTGTCCCATGTAGACATTTACACGTGTCGAACCCGTCCACGGCGGGGAATGTTTTCCCGTCATGATATTTCTTGCCGTCGTATGTACAGCTCTCTGGAAAAGTAATAACCTCCTATCGGTATGTCCACAGCTTGTAATCTATCAATATGGTGTGTCCAATACTATGTCTAGCACTATCAAAATATGGCTTATTTGAAGATCAGACAATTATATTACTAGATGTATCTAAAGAATTTGCATGGTTGGAATCTAGTTAATAATTTATCTATCAAATTCCAAGGATGTCTTACAGAAACGTATGTACAATGAGCAATATTGAGCTAAGAGCATTCAATGTGTTTCAAATCAAGATTTTTAGGTTCAAAAAGATTGCTTCCGTCATTATAAAAATTATTACTTCTCTTGCTGTCGTTAATGTCCCGTTCGGAGATACTTTCCGTACAGACTACTGTCCCATGAAGACATTTACATGTGTCGAACCCGTCCACGGCGGGGAATGTTTTCCCGTCATGATATTTCTTGCCGTCGTATGTACAGCTCTCTGGAAAAGTAATAACCTCCTATCGGTATGTCCTCAGCTTGTAATCTATCAATATGGTGTGTCCAATTCTATGTCTAGCATATCAAAATATGAAATGGAATTAAATCTGGTTTGTTTGAACACGAGACAATTAGTTTAATAGATATACCAAATGAATTTGCGTGGTGGGAATCTAGGTTATAATTTATCAATTAATTCCCAGGGATGTCTTACAGAACATGTATAATTGAATTAAGAGCGACTTAAAGTATATCAAATCAGGATTTTCAGTTACAAAGAGATTGCTTCCCTCATTATCAAAATTATTACTTCTCTTGCTGTCGTTAATGGCCCGTTCGGAGATACTTTCCGTACAGACTACTGTCCCATGTAGACATTTACACGTGTCGAACCCGTCCACGGCGGGGAATGTTTTCCCGTCATGATATTTCTTGCCGTCGTATGTACAGCTCTCTGGAAAAGTAATAACCTCCTATCGGTATGTCCTCAGCTTGTAATCTATCAATATGGTGCGTCCAATACTATGTCTAGCACTATCAAAATATGGCTTATTTGAAGATCAGACAATTATATTACTAGATGTATCTAAAGAATTTGCATGGTTGGAATCTAGTTAATAATTTATCTATCAAATTCCAAGGATGTCTTACAGAAACATATGTACAATGAGCAATATTGAGCTAAGAGCATTCAATGTGTTTCAAATCAAGATTTTTAGGTTCAAAAAGATTGCTTCCCTCATTATAAAAATTATTACTTCTCTTGCTGTCGTTAATGTCCCTTTCGGAGATACTTTCCGTACAGACTACTGTCCCATGAAGACATTTACATGTGTCGAACCCGTCCACGGCGGGGAATGTTTTCCCGTCATGATATTTCTTGCCGTCGTATGTACAGCTCTCTGGAAAAGTAATAACCTCCTATAGGTATGTCACCAGCTTGTAATCTATCAATATGGTGTGTCCAATTCTATGTCTAGCATATCAAAATATGAAATGGAATTAAATCTGGTTTGTTTGAACACGAGACAATTATTTTACTTTATCTCATGAATTTTCGTAGTGGGAAGCGTACATGCATTCCCCTTCGTCAGCTTCAATCTGATTTCCTGATCGGACGGTAATAAATGTTGTCTGTCCCATTAGTACTATCAGGCGAACAATTGTGATTTCTTTTTAAAGTTGTTGTTAATGAAATAACGTGTAGGAAGCAACACTTACTTTTCTTGCTGTCGTTGACGTCATGTTCGAAAATATCTCCCGTGCTTTCTGGAAATTTGTGGAAAAAAGTATATATATGTGTTTATTGTTCGTTTTTCTAAATTATTTGATTCATAGACAGATAACTCACATGTTTGCATTGCATTTGACCTACATTTACCACACTTTAACAATGGCCTTAACTATTGTAGATAGAAGGCGTGTTTCATAAAGTATGCATGCAATATCGCACATGTTTTACACAGTACAGTTCTAATGTCCGACTTTAGAGTTTTGTTGCAATTGGGGGGCCTAGTGTTCCATAAACACCTCTTGTTTACATTGTTTTCATGTGGGAATGTGATATTAATTACTTGGATTGACCAGGATTTACATGGCGAGTACCGTCGCCGAAGCAGTAGACGCTTGCCCTTTCGGAACACATGCTCTTATTTTCCTTTTAATCTTTCATGAGTTTCCTTGTTAATCTTTCTTTTGATTACATTTTCTCCTAGTTTCATTGAACTCAAATTTGAATCAAATCTCTGGCGACATATAAGAAGATGTATTTTTGGAAACATTTACCGACACAGTGAAATGGTATCAGTAAGTTCATGTGCATCGTAAGAATGCACAGCAGTAGTACACATTAAGACAAATGATCGATTGCCGAGTGCCAATCGGATGTATCATAAATGGCATTTGATCAAATCTTATACATAATATGCAGTGCCTCGATAGATTATTAGATAGAATACTTATAGATCGGTGTAATGCTTAAAGCGAGTACTTATCCACCTGGTAGTGGCAGAAATGCGTTATTCCTAACTTCGTCTGATACGGTTAAAGTATTATCTATTGGAAAACAAATATATAGAAATTTCTAATTGTTGTAGGCAGGAAAACCATTAATTAATGCACAACTACTTTCCATATATTCTTAATTTGTTAAAGATTTGATATTGCATGTAAAGTTTTATACCTACCTATCGCAAAGACGGAAAACCAGGGCAGGATAAAAAGAAGCAGTAAAGTCTTCATATTCTTATCGCTTCCAGTTGTCTTCTGACTCAAACTTCAGTGCCAAATGTATGTCGTTATTGTCTTATCATTAGTGTCAAAGATATGGAAATCCATACACGCGATATATTTGGGGAACATAGGTATTGTCTTCACACAAGAAGCATGCATGCTATAAACTCAACGGCACGAGTTCTTATATCAAATAAATAACCCAATATACATAATAAACAAAAACATCTTTTGAGGTCAGAAATATTATGTTCATTTTAGAACATTTTTTTATTTCCATAAACATTGTTTTATGGACAATAATGGTTTTATTACAAATAGTTCATTCAACTGCACCAAAATACGGAAATATAAAAATACAGGATAAGTTTTAACTTAAAAAAAAATCTGATGTTTTGGTATATCTCCTGTTAAGGGATTTAGTTTAAATGATTTTCTTTCTTTAGCACGACATTGATTCTATATTTCCTACTTGTTTTGGCCAGTTACAGTTTCCATAGTATTATAGATAGTAATGTGTCATTTGCTGTAGATTATATGACCTATTACGTACATATGTGTTAGCCTTGAAACAAGATATGACTTTTATTAGGAAGTGTAGATTAGATAAACCATTTTCTACAGTAGTCACTTTCACTGTCTGCTAGTGTGTTATAAGTACGATATGATAGGTATAACTGATTTCCTGTTCGTGTCCCCATCTCCATTCCGTCCTTATATCTCTTCCGTAACCTGTTTTGAATTTTCCTCGGTCGCCTCCTCGACTTCGAGACTCAAGCCCATAGCAACATTGTTGAGTCCTAGATTGACAAAACAGCTGTATGCTGTAGTTTCGTGCATTATTCGCTCTAGTATATCAGGTTATATTTCCAAATTTGTATTAAAAGGTACTATTCACTTGTGCGTCTTTTCACAATTTGGATGGTTCGGATCAAAGACATTATGGCTCATGCGCATATAGGATACATTTCTTTCCGCTACTCCATAAAATTGCCTTCACGAATTCATCTATGCCTTTGATGCTGGTCCACATGTTAATGTTCCTGTTTCCTGCATAGTGGTTCAAGCTATTGAATCTTTACTATCAACAGAGAAATACTTATGTACGTCACATGTCATGAAACAAAATTCGAAGATTACGATAAGTTTATTTAACAAAAAATTAAGAATTTGATTGTTCTGTTTGTTATCAGCATAACAATTGTGATGAATGTCTAAATACCTGTCTTTGCATTGTTAAAAACCAAGAATAACTAGAAATTGACTTTCGCTCCTTTGATGACACAGCTAATATTTTAGCTGACTCCTACAACTGCTTTACCTAATTAAAGTATACCCGATATGCATAGTCCTGACTGATTTTGATCACATTGTCACTGTTTACATGTTGTATGTAGGTTGATATTGATACGGGACTAGCATCTTGTGTTTATATGCTGCACCTCTTTAATGGAAAGAAAAAGAGATAAAAGGAAACAAATCGTTTACGTAACCATTTAAGATCTCGTGCTTCGTGTTTCGGATCAGGATGTGTTCTTGATAAATCATTGTTCTAGCATTACTTGGCTTTGTTTATTAATCTCATACTGAGCGCAATACTGTGGGATACCGCGTGTAAGCAGTTATATAATGGCTGTGTTTTCGTACGCCAACACAACAAGGTTAACACGAGATCGAACTTCAAAGAGGGCGGATGTACATACTCTTGTGATGTGACCTTGTCGATGTCCTTATGAAGAACATGTATATACTATAAGTGATAACCTGACGTCATTTATACATAGGATGTATGTTCATACTATTGATATGTAAGTTACATATACTATGTCCGGTGTATATTGTCCATAGAATTAATTATATTATCAGTCGAATCTATTAGACTTGTTTTATGAATTTGACCAGCAAGATATATATATATATATATATATATATATATAGTTTAATTGGCATTACATAAATATATTGTGTACACAAAGTATACGATACCTGTTAGATACGTGTGTTCTGTCCAGTTATACCTAACGGCTCTATGTTATATAAAGATAAAATTACATTTACAAAAAAAAAAAAAAATAAATAAATAAATATTAAAATTAATGTTATTGTAAGTGAAAATAATGCTATCTGGCTTTTAATGAATTCGAAAGAGACTACAACCAATCTTTATCACTCTAAACGTTTCTTCAGTACAACTCATTGTTATTCCCCATTCTATACTGAAGGAACGCATTCGTTGTCTTGTTACGAGAGCTTTCATTAAACAGAAAGGTGAACGGCGATACGAATATATAATTGTCAACTATGCTGAATCGTATTTTGTGGAAAATACTTCAAAACAAAGAAGAAATGTACGGAAGATTTTTGTTTGAAATGGTCGACAAGCTGACATGTTCTTTTGTTCCTTTGTTGTTTAGTTAATATTTTTAATTTGTTGATGATACAACAGCCAGCTAAAATTACGATTCTGATATTTTGTAATTATTTTGTTTTGACACACATAATATATATAATCTTGATTAAACCTCTGAGCAAAGATCACGAGACAAACTGAGAAGCAAGTTTAAAAACGAAACAAAAACTGCTTTGAAATCAATTCAATACAAAAGTTTAGCAAAACCCATGTTTCAGAAAAGAAAAGAAAAAAACTTCTAATTAAAAGAATTTAAGCAAATATCATCCATCAAGGGTGATGTTTTGTGTAATATTCCAGTTATTTTTATCTAGAAAGCAGTACCTGACATCCCTGTTAGTGTAACATTAAGTAGCTGTACTTGTTTAAATGGAATTTCCAAAAACACTTATCACATCTATTTTATCATATGCAATAAATTAAGTCCCCCACCTCCCTACCACCCTCGTGTCAGGATTCTTTGTTGTGACCGGTGTATTTTATCTTACTTATTGTCCTCAGTTAAAACGTTGTTGACCTCAGCAGAAACTGGTGTCGGTCAGTACTTCATGAATAAGAGCGAAGGCTTAATTCAACAGCAAAAGTGTATCAGTCCATATTAGGAACACTTGGAAAAGACATAATACCCCGCTATCAGTGCACTGATAAATATTGCAATTAATCTCAAAGTGCCTTACAAATGTTAGTGTGGAACGTGAAAAGGACAGAATAGTTAGTGATAACCATTGTGTTTCCTTATTGAAAGGTAAACACAGACCGGTTTTGTAATATCGTTTATTGAGGTCAATAGGTAGACTCATTAACCAATAATACAGGTGGTATGGTGTAAAAGTGTTCATGTTTTGGATAATGCTTGTAAAAATTGATCAGAAAGAAAAATATGTTCTAATATTCATAAAGGTTGTATTCAGTGTAACAGGGTGTATGTGATGTGATATAGGAGTCTGGGAACGTTTAGTGTATTTCAATACAACGTTTATGGCACGAGACACAGGGTACAGAATAGAAACATGTTTTGTAACGATAAACCTCGTCCTGTTTGTCATCTAAGGCGTTTGACATGTGTACCTTTAGAATTAAAAACTTAATAGGATGCTGACGTACAACAAAAGTATCAGACCGTATGTGGTTGTTTATGATACTGACATCAGATTGTTTGTGGTTGTTTATAATACAGACATATCAGACCGTTTGTGGTTGTTTATGATACTGACATCAGACCGTTTGTGGTTGTTTATGATACTGACATATCAGACCGTTTGTGGTTGTTTATGATACTGACATATCAGACCGTTTGTGGTTGTTTATGATACTGACATATCAGACCGTTTGTGGTTGTTTATGATACTGACATCAGATTGTTTGTGGTTGTTTATGATTCTGACATCAGATTGTTTGTGGTTGTTTATGTGGTTGTTTATGATACTGACATATCAGACCGTTTGTGGTTGTTTATGATACTGACATCAGAGTGTTTGTGGTTGTTTATGATACAGACGTTTGGGTTGTTTGTGGTTGTTTATGTTTATCAGACCGTTTGTGGTTGTTTATGATACTGACATATCAGACCGTTTGTGGTTGTTTATGATACTGACATATCAGACCGTTTGTGGTTGTTTATAATACAGACATATCAGACCGTTTGTGGTTGTTTATGATACTGACATCAGACCGTTTGTGGTTGTTTATGATATTGACATCAGATTGTTTGTGGGTGTTTATGATACTGACATATCAGACCGTTTGTGGTTGTTTATGATACTGACATATCAGACCGTTTGTGGTTGTTTATAATACAGACATATCAGACCGTTTGTGGTTGTTTATGATACTGACATCAGATTGTTTGTGGTTGTTTATGATACTGACATCAGACCGTTTGTGGTTGTTTATGATACTGACATATCAGATTGTTTGTGGTTGTTTATGATACTGACATCAGACCGTTTGTGGTTGTTTATGATACTGACATATCAGACCGTTTGTGGTTGTTTATGATACTGACATCAGACCGTTTGTGGTTGTTTATGATACTGACATCAGATTGTTTGTGGTTGTTTATGATACTGACATCAGATTGTTTGTGGTTGTTTATGATACTGACATCAGACCGTTTGTGGTTGTTTATGATACTGACATCAGATTGTTTGTGGTTGTTTATGATACTGACATATCAGACCGTTTGTGGTTGTTTATGATACAGACATATCAGACCGTATGTGGTTGTTTATGATACAGACATATCAGACCGTTTGTGGTCGTTTATGATTCTGACATATCAGACCGTTTGTGGTTGTTTATGATACCGACATATCAGATCGTTTGTGTTTCATGAGATGTTTTTAGTTTTTTGTTGAATTCACTTTGGTTTATAATTTATCCTTGTGAAATCTTTTCCTCGTTGTTTCTGATTTGAAAACGTGATATTATTTACCTGGGTTGAGTTTGCTTGTATTTTACATGGTGTCAAACCTGGACACTTGATATTATTCTCAGGATGTCCTTATTTATGTTTTTGTTTGAATTTTAATTCTTGGTTTATTTATTTACAATGTTTTGTATTAAGCATGCTGGAGTTAGACGACATATTAAGATTGTGTTAATATGGACGTACTTTCTTGATTTTTATACATGAAAGTTTACGTTGCAAGATTTTTTCTCGTGTAAGTTAATAGGCTTCGTACCCAAAGTGTATTTCATGACGTTACTGAGTATTTGTGAACACATACCTGTTCCCCGGCGTCGAGTTGCAGTCAGTGGCATGCGGGAGTGCAGCATTGCTTTTATAAACGCACTTGATTGCTTGTTATAAATCCAAACAAATACAAAAGGTAATCTTGACAATCCTGCCCTGTCAGGGGTTCATACGGCGTACATAACTACAACAGGGCACGATATTGTTCTCCATATATATATATACATATATGTTTTTAAGAATTCTTTCGTACTTACATTTTTCCAATACTTGGTAAAGAAATATCAATTGTCCGTGTTTCGTAAAGGTTAACTAAATTGGCTTAGGATTATACCAAGAACTGACACTACTGTTCAAAACGATGTAGCAATATAAGATTCATATTTTCAATATATCTAATAAACAGCTGAAATGGGAGTATTGACCATTAAGTGTTGTTATTTACTGAGTTGAACATTGATATACATCAATACACAAGTTACGAAGTTAGTATTGCTTTCAGAGTTACACCAGCGTTGTTTTGATGTGCCAACATTTTTTAAAAACATAAACAATTTATAAATAACAATACAACAGCAAAACCTTAATCCAATATCAATGTCTTTTAATCGAGGGCACATGAACAAAAGAGTGATTCACAGTAAGAACCTTGAAAACACACAAAGAGAATAAGACCAAGTGTTCTAGAAGAGTAAGCGTCTTTGCTTTATCAAACATATCCGCCATGTAAATCTTGTTCACGGTCTTTAATGAAAACAAGTTTAACAACGAAAACACCTGGCATACATTGGAAACAAACAAATCACTTGTGCGTCTTTTGTACAATCTCCATATCGTACAAGGAAATAAAATTGTTCTAATTGAGATCACACTGACGACAATAAAACTTGTTTCCTTCATTCTAAACCTTTGTCTCTCAAAACTCAGTCTTATAATTTCAAGTTTTATTCCCAACAGCATGCAGCCAGGACTTCATACACAAAACAGCGGTATCTTAGCTGGCTGCAGTAAACATGCTAGTGACTAATTATGATAACCGCACAAACACGTGATATCACAGGACAATTAACTTGTTGTATGTATATGTGTTGGATACAGAGGTTATATATCTGTTATTTTTATTGCAGTAACAAAGTAATTCTTATCAATATCCATGACACACAGAAATTTAGAATCTCTTAAGGACACAGCTAACAAAGTAGGTGTATAACGGCGATCACCCACGATAGTCTATAATATGTGTTATCTGTGATAGATTCATAGAATAAGATTTTCTGTAAGCATAGTATATAGCATGACATGAAATTGATTAGTAATGTCCAAGAACTTACATCTTTTCATTACATAATCTAGGAAAACATCTTCGTCCTCACTGGGATATGGACAAAATTTAAATGAAACTCACACACGAACTAAAGTAATTTATATACATCTAATGATATCTGTTTACACCAAAGAGAAAATCAATCTCTGATCAAAACACGATTCTTTACATTCTGATTCATTTTATCTCGATTCACTTTCCTCAATAACTGATCGACACTTTTGAAAGTGGTGACAGTTTTATCTGGCTAAGCCATGTTAGATCCCTTCCTATCAATAGCTGGATCTTTTCATAAGTTGCTTATATAATTTGAAAACCTACTTACATAATTGAAAATTCCAGAGAATCTATGTGATATTTTCAATGACACTAAAATTAATGTTGCCATGTCGTGGCTTCTGAAACGAGTAACTTTAAAATAAATAAATAAACAGGATATTTCATGACGGTTTAAACAAAATTATCAAATTAGTCATTGCCAGTTCTATTATATCGCCATGTTACATCTAAGCCAATCGTCGATATGATCCATATCCGAGTAGTTTGATATCGCCTTTTATGGATGTTTTGACTTAACGTGCTACGTCGTATTTTCGACGGGAGTAAATTTTGCTCTTGGCTCTGGTATCAATATTTATCCCGACATTGGCACTGCCGTTGTCGGAATACACTTGCCACATATATTTTGGCTGTATTCGGTAGTGACGGAAAACAGCTGTAATTTAGCACGTGCGGAAATTCTACATAATAACTCTATGAATTTACTTAAATATTACGTTTAGAAATGTAAATAGTTGTTGAAATGAGCAATTTTACATCTTGTAATGAACGCTAGAGGCTCGACACTTTTGCCTTTATTCACTCTCGCCAAAACACAGCTTATATTTTAAGACCTTGATTATGTTTTCTCTATTCATCATGTTACGCGATAATTTGCGTCTGAAGCTTGCTCTTGACACACGAATTCACGTATTACTCTTGATATTTTATTATTTTAAGTACTTATTTTCTTCCAGCGTTAATTTCCTTCATAAACAGAATATTTTTACGCATAATCTCCCTTATTAAGTTTCGGCCAGTGTTAATCTCGCTCTTGACGCATGAATTGACTATACTTATAAATCTCTCTATTACGTTTTTTCTTTAGTTTGATATTCTTGTTACAATACATATACAAGACAATACAAACAAACATCCTTCCACACCCATGCATTCCTACTTGCACACCAATTATGAAGGAATCCTCCCTATGTCATCATCATCATCGTCGTCGTCGTCGTCGTCTCTATCACGTTTTGGTAATTTCTTTTTGATGCACGTGTTACTTTTCTCTTAGTGTTAACGTCTCTCAAAGCATGCGAATTTACTTTACATATTAATCTCTATATAAATATTCGTCCAGTATCAATTTCGTTCTTGATACATTTTTCTACATTTCTACACATATTGTTCTTTTCTTTTTGTAGGTTCCAAACCTGTAAACCTGATATTACTAAACACATAAGTGTCATGCTGGATGAAAAGGACGAAAGTGAAACCAGCGTTTTTCTTCAGAATAAATGGAATTTATTTCAACAAAAGTCACTCCGACAGAATGCCGGCCCTTTCACTGACACTCCTTTCCAGCTATCCATAAAACATTACACATAACTCGAACGTAAGGGTTTTCTTATCACTAGTCTTTGTTGCTCAAAGTGCGACGTTTTGTCGAATGTGTCAAATCTAAATTGATTTTACTTTTTAAACATTGTACGACCAGTGATGATAACATATCACATCTGTAATCCGCAAAGAAGCCCTAACATCAATAAGTAGCGGTGACGCAATATAAATGACCAAGCAATCGTCAAACCTGATCTTCAGAATTATTCAACATGGATAGGTGATAAAAGTCGACTTTTACGACACTGAGACAAATCTATCAACTCGTTGTGATGATTTAACGTTTTTTCATGTTCTATCAACGATCCCCACATGAATACCTCTATCTTTATCAACATGTATGACACTAAGGTTTATTTATATATATAAATTTACTCGTTTTCATTAACACGAACCTCAATAAACTTTCTCGACATTATCATAAACCTCGTGACTTTAAGAAAATGATATATATATTAACAATAATGTTGAAACATCATTACAATTTTTATCACGAAAACTCCACTTTGTCTGCTATAAATTACTTATTCATAAGTTAATACAGTCGAATCTCGTTATAACACGAAGACCCGTTTAATTCAAAGCATTCATTTGGTCCCTGCCTAACTTTACACGAATCATTCGAACTCACATATATCGAATAATCGGTTATCTCGAGGTTTCCCCATGGTCCCTCCAGCGTCGAAATAACAAGGTTCGACCTAGATCCTGGTGTTTATATTTTATATATATATATTTTTAGTATACCTGTTGGTTCCGTTGTTGTTTACCGTGTTTGATGTTCGTTAGTATACCTGTTGGTTCCGTTGTTGTTTACCGTGTTTGATGCTCGTTAGTATACCTGTTGGTTACGTTGTTGTTTACCGTGTGTGTTGCTCGTTAGTATACCTGTTGGTTCCGTTGTTGTTTACCGTGTTTGATGTTCGTTAGTATACCTGTTGGTTCCGTTGTTGTTTACCTGGTTCTCGTTTAGGAATTGACAAAGATAAACATGGCGGGTACTTTTTCATGAGTCTCTTTGTAAATCGTTCTTTGGTTTATATTTTGTCCATGTTTGATTGAACTCAAGTTTGGATTATGAATCTGCTAATGTTGGTATTTTCTTCTTTGTTTGCGTTACCAACACGCCACTTGATCATCCACAAATGAGTCTTCATAATGACAGAAACGTAGCCAAACAGGCACCATTACAGGACCACTGTGAAACTCATACTAGGTCGTAATCAGATTCTGTAGCCTGATAAACAAATACAACCAACCAGCTTCACGGTCGTCCTTATGATAACATTCTACAACCAGCTTCACGGTCGTCCTTATGATAACATACATACAACCAGCTTCACGGTCGTCCTTATGATAACATAAACCAACCAGCTTCACGGTCGTCCTTATGATAACATAAACCAACCAGCTTCACGGTCGTCCTTATGATAACATTCTACAACTAGCTTCACGGTCGTCCTTATGATAACATACATACAACCAGCTTCAATACAACCAGCTTCACGGTCGTCCTTATGATAACATACTACAACCAGCTTCACGGTCGTCCTTATGATAACATACATTCAACCAGCTTCACGGTCGTCCTTATGATAACGTACTACAACCAGCTTCACGGTCGTCCTTATGATAACATACATACAACCAGCTTCACGATCGTCCTTATGATAACATACATACAACCAGCTTCACGGTCGTCCTTATGATAACATACATACAACCAGCTTCACGGTCGTCCTTATGATAACATACATTCAACCAGCTTCACGGTCGTCCTTATGATAACGTACAACAACCAGCTTCACGGTCGTCCTTATCAACCAGCTTCACGGTCGTCCTTATGATAACGTACTACAACCAGCTTCACGGTCGTCCTTATGATAACGTACTACAACCAGCTTCACGGTCGTCCTTATGATAACATACATACAACCAGCTTCACGGTCGTCCTCATGATAACATACAACCAGCGTCACGATCGTCCTTATGATAACATACTACAACCAGCTTATGATTCAACAGCTTCACGGTCGTCCTTATGATAACATACATACAACCAGCTTCACGGTCGTCCTTATGATAACATACATACAA